CATCATTAGGCGCGCCATCAGTCCTGAGCATGGTGCTCAAGTAACTAGCAGAATTGGCCAAACTGAGATATCAATGTTAGCAGTGTAGAAACAGTGGCTGATGGCGATGGTCTCATACCCGTTGTCGTTCCAAGATTGAACTGGGAGAAGACAAAACATGCCAGTAGCCTGGAATGTGCGTCTGACATCCTCAACAAACTGATCGTCGTACTTGGTCGTGACTGCGAGCCCCTGGGAAGCACGATAGGAAGGTTTCGCATGCTCCCAGAATCCCTTGCGTCCGATTCGCCAGATACCACCGTTCTTCAGAGCCTGACCGAGCACATGAACGGCATTGGGCAGATCAGAGCCTCCTGGTTTGTGCAGGACAAGCTTCTTTTTGATGAGCAGCAGGATAACAGGGAGGGGAATATACAAGATCAAGGGCAGCAGCCACGACAGCCACCAGCCAACATACTTCTCGGAGTATGAGGTGGCGACCTGCATGAATCCTCCAATGTTAATTAGGAGATAGAACCACAGCATAGCTCTCTCAGCACCATGCTCCGGGTCCTCAATGACGCGCTCTCCGGTCTTAAGAGTAACGACCTTGGGTAGTCGGGTCTTCATCTGATCAAGTAGAAGTGGAGTAACATTTGGCTTGAACATGGCCGCGCCGAGAGAAATGATGTAGATGCCAATGAAGAAAGGCACCTTGGCGTTTCCGTTCTCGAGAAGGGACTTTGCGCCCGAAGAAACCAAGATAATATGTCCGACACCCATCACAGCGATACCTGCCATGACCATGGAGAAGCGACCGGTTCGGGTGTCGGAGAGATAACCCGTGATAAGAGGGAGAGCGTAGGCGAGGAAGTTGACAGATTGGTTGACGGCATTCTACTTCATGTAAGTCTCTGATCATACGGAATTATCTTGCTTGAAGACTTACAGCCTTGGCTTGTCCCATTCCTAGAGCACCTGGAGTTTGTTGGGTTCCAATTGGGGGCGCTCCATAGCCATTGCCACCGTCTGGCATCGGCCGGTTGACAAAGTTGGAGTAAAGACCTTGGCATCCTGAAGTAGGGTATTAGTGAAGCTGCCAATAGGGGACAACTGGCTAGCATTGACTCAATACTGACCAAAGTAGGAAGCACGCTCGCAAAATTCGGCCAAGCACAACAGATAGGCGACGGCTGGGAGCTTGCCAGGGACACGACGAAGGGTGGCAGACTCCTCCTTGGTCGGCTTGCCCTCATAGTCGGCATCTAACGCCGTGGTATATACCGGCACGTGTTCATCACTGGTGTTCTCCTCGCTGGCATACACCTGCGTCACTGTCTTTGGAGTAGCCATGGCGTTCCTGCGTGACGAGAAAACATGCAAGAGCTCAAGGAACCTGGCACTGGACGGTGCGTGTGCTCATAAAAGCCCAGTTGCTTAGGATTTATACCATCCTCCCTCAGTTCTGGTCTGCTGATAAGCGGTTGCAGCCCCTGGCCGTATCCCATAACCTGATGTTGCCGCAAATCCGGAGAATAGGACTGCCCAAGAAATATCGTTGGCTGGAACCAGGGCCCTCGTGGCAATTTCCCACAATTCCCGTCCCCGCCCTCTTGGCAGCAGTTCGTTGTGGGAAGGTGGATCAAGGAACTTTGTTTATCGCAGCTTCTCTATCTCGGAAAAGCGGCAAGGCGGTTCGTGATCTTTTGCAATGCAACGTTAGATTTCTCATTCAATTGGTATATGGAATGGCGACATGGCAAAAGTTCGCCCCCCGTACTGGAGCCTGTGGAATGATAAGAAGGATTCAAGTCGGCTGAACGGCACGGTCTGTGCTGTTCCGAGACTGGCTTCTTTTGCTTCCTGGTACTAGCCTCGTTGATTATATTAGAGACAAGACCTCACTTTGACAAGAGGGTGTTTGGACGGGTGCCCGATTCGTAACTGCCCCTGCTTGATTGGCTCTCTTTGATCCTTTAATATTGGCCCCCAAGATTCGTGTCCACAATGTCTCGACCATTTGTGAGCCCAGGATGACGACTACATACGATTCAGAAATGATGGACATTGATCAGGAGATACCCCATTCCTGCTAAGCATCACCTGATGTGTCTCAGTCATATTTTTCCATTATATCAGTACACCCACTAGTACTCGATGTGGAAGATGACCCCCGATTTTTTCTATGATGAAGCTAGCTCTAGTTCTGATTTGGAAGAGCTTATATCTCTCTTCAAGTGCACTTCTTAGATGGTCTAGGTGTTACCTTTGGATTTTCCAAATGATTTCAGAGATGATTTTATCTAGGCTGGCTTGATTTACTCCCCTGTCTCTTTCCTTTCCCTCCCGTTCTCATTAATATCCCTTCTATTTCGCCTTTAGAGACATGATACCTCAGCTCACCTTTACTTAATACCTCAACATTTACCTGTTATAAATATAGGAAAAAGCAAAGGAGCTCGAATTTCATCAAAAGGGCTGTGCCGCCGAAAGAGTTGCAATAACGAACATGACATTTGTTCGCTCTTGAGCTTAGCAGTCAGCCTTAGTGGCGCTCTACTGTCGGGAAATGATACCCAAACCCTAGATGCAAGTACAACCGACTTTTAACTGAGATGAGTTATGTTCATGATGCTTGAGGTGAGTGCTATGCAATCTGCGTTCTATTCACGTTGGGTAGCCTCACTTGTTACTATTGTAGCTAAGGCTGGGAAAGATCGTAGATTTAATTGGAACAACATATCCAAGGAGATCAATTCCCCTCTAGAGTCTATTTAATATTACGCTAAGAGCTAGCGTCTATAAGTCTATTGATAATGACAATTAGGAGCAAGATATCAACATTTCACTTTAGCTAGTAGTTGGGCTGACCCGATACCTTAATCTTTCCCCTACCATATCGAGCTAATAATTTCAAAGTATACACATAGCTTTCGAGCACGAAGATGTATATGAGAAGAAGCATGGGAAATTTCTTCATCTCAAGTGCTTCTAGCCATCGAAATGTATCCATCAATTGGGGTGGACAATGCAACTTCGGCCGACATTACTGCCCGCCTCATGACCGCCTCATGACCTCTTCAGCCGAAGTAACAGCTATATCAGGAAGTTTCTCATTGAGTGTGTTCTAGTCATGTACGCGATAGTACCTTAGTCCGATTTGGTAATGAATGAGTCCACAGTACGCCCGATCTCTATCCCCATGTCTGATAGGGGGAACATCCTCGATAAATGAGATAGTTCCTCTCTTTAGCCTTTCCAAGCTGTCGTGGACATCTTTGAACTTGCAACGTACGTCTCGTGTTGCTTTGGAGAGTAAAAGACGCTTTACCGAAAACATTACCTCTTGTCTTTTCTGCAAGTTCAACAAGCTCACTCATTGCCATCGTGTTGGACACGATTCAGCTCACTTTGTCCCAGTGGTCTAGGTCCATCAATCCTCCCATGAAAGCGCCGAGGTCTTGAGATGTGATGAAATCTGCTTTGGCAGATCCGTCGCTGTGGATGACAGCCCATTTCGTTCCATGTTGACAACATTGAGCCAGGGGTGGAGCGATGTCTTCTAGTGTGGCATGCCGTAGTAATCTGCAAACAACCCATTGACCACTGGTGTATATGACAGATCTGTATTTTCCAACTCCCCTAGCGCATCGAATGCGTATTTCACGCGAGGTGCCAAAGAAGCATGCCTTTGACCGTTAGCAGGGCGGAACTCGAAAATTCAGACGCGTAACCCGCTACGTAGTCATACTCCGGCATTTGAAGCTTGTCGCAAGCGCTGACAACAAATCTTCGAATTGTTGAAGAGAGATGGGCTGTCCGGATGAGATTGATTTGGGCTTCGCTTGCCTTCTCATCTCGCACGCTAATTGCAGAGATGAGAGTGTCAAATTTTGCTTGCTGCAAGGTCTGAGTAGCGGCTTCAATATCGTCATACTGGGCTAAAAGCTAGTCGACGCTCGACGCGGGTATATTTCCTATGATAGTCAACATCTAGTCTTTTGCGGTTAGGTTTTAAGGGTTATAGTACCCCTCGGGAGAGAACGAAGACCTTGTGGCCACCGTGTTAGATCAGGCCCTGGCGATACAGTTTTCTACAGGTCCTGTCCTACCAGCAACAGCAATAATGGCCTTGCCTCAATTTCTTCCGAATGGTAGCCCATTAGGTTGGAAGAGAAGATGTGGAGCCTCCTGATTAGATGCTAACTGGTGGCTAGTATTATAATGAATGTTAAGCACTATTTTTGTCAAACGGGAGCGGCCAAACCCGTAGTTCAAAAATGGTATCATCAAAGGCTAGTTTTGAGGTCTAAGAAGTGGTTGGGGAATGATCTATATATCGATTATTCTGGTACTGATATTTTAGACTGCTATACCTACCTGTAGCTCGCTCAAGGTAAACTATGAAGGTTCGAAGCTTTGGGCGGTAGCAACTCGAATTGATTAAAACGTCGCACTACAATAGGGGTACAGAATCCCTCTTTCAAGTTTCTTTTACCTCTCATTTACAACAAATTGCCCATCGCAATGCTTCACAAGACATGATGACACTGGGTAAAGAGCAGCAGTACTGTCTTTGTAAAACGCTACTTCGGGGATTTCATCTCAATGCGATAAGCGGAAGCTAGAGGCGATCGGCTTCCGCTTTAGGACTATACCAAGTGGGTGGTTGAGTTTCCAAGTTGTATGAACCAGCTATGAAGGTGACAGCTGCCTACATTGTCCTTGGTGTTCATCTTTATCAAAATCTCCGTGTCGGCCATACCTGATCGCTTACACAGCTGCCGTGTTGAAATATATGTGGTACGTTGCTACTCAAGAAAACAGAAAAATCTTCATGGTAGGATAGTCCATTGAGATATCTTACACGCTTGTTCCCTCGGCCTGAGATTCGGGTCTGCAGCTATATCTACCTATACCTTAATGTTTCTGTAAAGTTTGCATTCTGAAAGCCTTATAAATCAAACCAAAATTGTTACAGATTCCGGCAGCGCGCAGTTGGAAACTGTCCGGGGCTGAACTTAAACATCTTCACTGATAGGAGCCGTTACTCCACCTATCCCGCAGATAGAGCAAATCTCCCAGCGAGGCTTTCTCGGGTTATCTGGAAGGTCCTCAGACTTGATTGTGCCTGACTGGTACCATCCCATGTCTGACGTTAAATAATCAGTATAACGAGGGCTTAGTTTGTGGTGAGCCTTCAAGTGTCGTTTGAGTTGAATTAGAGTGAAGTTGGATGGTGGCGATGATAGGCACGGACCAATAGCACATTGGAATGAGCCGTGCGCCTCCTCGATATGCGACTGTTGCTGACAATCAGCGACAACCGCAGAGCAGTGCGTTTGTTGGCACTGCACCTGAGGGTGATGCTCCCTCAGATGCTTCAGTAACTTGTCCTGTCTCTTGAAGCCATCAAAGTGGCCCGGGCAGGACTCATCGGGGCAAGTGAAAAGGCTGGTGGCCTCATGCTTGCTCATCATATGCCGGATGAGGTCGGACTCTTTGCCAAAAGGTCTCGGATATGTGCAGCCCGGCACAGTACAAAGCAACGGCTGTTGATGGATATTTCGGACGTGCTGCCTGAACTGCGAGAGAGTTTTGAATTTCGCCTTGGATCGACAATCCGTCTCGGTGCATTTGTAGGGGGGGGCAGAAGAGGCAGCTGCTGTGCCGATCATGTTGGGGTGGCTGGGTGGGGCAGACCCAGCAGCGGCAACTTCCCCTTCGTTCATGCCGCCGGAGTGGAGGTGGTTGGGCAGGACTGCCGTGTCGATGTTGGTACCTAACCTGGTTGAAGGGCCCCTTTAGCGTCGGTTTAAAAAAAAAACTCACACCAATTCCGATTGGTTGGATCTGGGCAATATGGCTGAGGGGCCCTCATGCAAAGATGCCTGGTTGGGCTCCAAGACACCTGCAGAGGCGTCTGGGTCGCAAAGCTGGCCGCCTGCGTCCGTCGCTGGATGATCGAGAGTCTGGGCTTCGAGAGCCGAATCAATCTCGTAATCGGCGTCGTTGCAATACTCGCTGAAGTCGAAAGGTTCCTGGTCAAATCCGTGGAAGTGCTCAAAAAAGTCCATGTCGTGGTCGAACTCAGAGGACATCGTGGGCAACTTGGGTGAGTGAGATTGTTGATTTGAGCGGTGTCTTAGGAAAGGCTGGCCTAGAGCGCTTGGAGAATAGCTGTGAAGAAATTGACAAAGGTTGAAGACGGTTGAATAAGGTGGCAGCTCCTAGAGAGTCCGAGTTTGTTTTGTTCCATCAGGAGGCGCGGTCATGCGCCTCAAAGACCTGGAGTCTGACGTCGACGAGCGCCCTTTTAGTGCAGGTTCTGGACGTATGTGCTGACGGTACCTAGGCAGCATTGTGTGCCCTGTTTCGTAAGGTATATGCATGCACGAGAAACAGCCACTCGGTGAAGCCAGAGGACAACCGCTCCTACCACGTGGCCTAAGACCATAGGCGCCCTCTTGTCAGACAAAAAAAAAGCACTGCCTGGAAAGTTCCCAAGGCATCTAACACCGATGTATTTGGCAGTTTCATGGCTGTACTTGAGGTACCTACTGTTTGGTGACACCCCCCGCCCTCGTCTTGGTAGGCCTATCCACTCGTATCCTGTCGTCAAACAGCGAAACAAGTGAATGTCCTAGAATTATCATGTAGAGTTGGTCACAAACTGTCATAAAGTGACGCTCTTGCCGAAATACACAATGCAGCCTTTACTCACGGCGCCACGGTAGAACATCCCAAAGAGGATCCCGAACTCAAAGCTTGCCAAGGGCTTGCTCTCGGGCAGTCGCCGCATCAGCCTCCAGTTGGAAAATGGCTTGGCTCCTTCTTTGAAAATCTCACCGTGGCCGTATCGATGTATGATGCAGGATTCTGTCGTATAGGACGTACCCTGCGTCAGCGGAGGCGAGGAGTGAGGCTGAGGTGGGATGGTGGATGCCCCCCAATACACTTTCTCGTGGAAGATGGCTTACACTAGGCACAAAGCCGGCTGGGCCTTCAGTGTAGGCCGTTCATCTTTGCGCCCCATCTCCGCGAGTTCGTTTTGATCACCTCCCAACCTAGAGTCACGATATCTACTGTTGCGTAAGATGAAAGTTGGTGGTGAAAGTATGAATAGATGATGCTTAAAATAATATGTCGTAGCTGTTGGCGAATATTGGAACCGATAAGCCCCTCAATCCGCCCTGTGGTGTCTTGTCGGTGAGTTTGGTCAAAGTGCCACGGCTGCCTAGCTATTACTATAACTTCACAGTTTTTAGGTGAATTGTGCTCGGGTGTTTCTAAGCACTTTTTTTACTTCAGAGTATGAGTCCTAAATGTCTTCTTGGGGGAGCATTATCAGTGCGATGAGGTTCAATTACTTGAAAATCCGAGAGTCATGCCTGTATACCGCTTAGTTTGATCATCCGAGTCATCAAATATGATGGAATTGCTGCTATATTTGTTTCATCCATCGTCTGTATCTATGGAAGAAGTTTGATGACGGAAAAATATGCACAGGCTCCCTTACATTCTCCCTCACATAGTCGGTTCTGATGACCTCAATTATTTCCGATGAAGTCTAACATGAACTTGAATCTGCTATGATCTTCTTGGTCCTTTCCCCAGGGCATTTCCCTCCGCAACATCATATCACTTGGCGAACTAATTACCATCTAGGCCACCATTGCCTCTGTTCCTTGAGCCGACTGGGTGGGGTCCAGAGCCGAACTGTGAGCCGTGCCAAGAAACGAGCCGTACGCGAGCCGGAGCCATGGTGTGTTGGAGCTCCGGGGCTTTTCCCCGCGCCCAAATCATGGCCTTGACAATGTGACTAGGGGATCTGATTGATCAAATTTCGCACATGTCACAACCAGAGCAGACCTCGGTTGATGGAGTTCAGTCATGCCTAAACAAGCTGCACATCCCCAGAGCGATGTCAGACCTTCTAGTCTAATATGAATACGAAGCCCCCTCAGAGTCCCTACTTATGACTTGGACTGTGGGAGCTTTAATAGCACCGAAAATCTTATGTTGTATATGGTGAATGTAAACCTCCATTTCACTTCTTTCCCACTCTGTAAAACAACAGCACCAAAGCCTTCAGAAGTCATGGCCGATCATACTCTTGTCTCATCCTCCTCTACCACGGGGTTCTTTCAACAACTGCCGACGGTCTTGCCACAATACACATCTGGGGCCTCTGCTACCAATTCAAGCGAAGTTACTGATGATGCGGTCCTCAATCGACTCATCAAGCAGTATTTGCCTCCCATAGGCCAGAGGGATGTTGGCAAAGCAATGCATGACATGTCACGACTTGTTCTGACGCCCGAAATTCTGAACCACGCAGTGGAGGCCGAGACAGTAACCCCTTACTTACGGCCACTTACAACTTTTGGCGAGATCAACCAGAATGACCCTCTTGTCACTTGCCAAGGTTGGAAGGCGCTCAAGGCTGTCGGAATACAGTCTGGAGTTGTTTCATGTGCCTATGATGGGTCCATCACCTCGTACAATCGCCGAGTAAACCAATTCTTGCTCAACCATACTTGGCACCATACGTCTACCTTGACGATGTGTCCGATGACCATGACGGACGGAGCTGCCAGCCTGATCTCAAAGCATTTGGAAGACGAAGATGGCGATCAACCAGGGCGACTAAAGGTTCTCAAGGAGTACTACCGACGTCTGACGAGTGATAATCAAGCCGAGGCATGGACTAGTGGGCAGTGGATGACTGAGAGATCCGGAGGTAGTGATGTGAGAGGTACCGAGACTGTCGCAACCAGATTGGGTCTTGATGCAAGCCAGGAAGGTCACGATGGTCTTGGCCAGCCTCTGGGTCCTTGGAGCATCGATGGCTTCAAGTGGTTCAGCAGTGCCACCGACTCGGATATGACGATGCTTCTAGCCCAGACGCCCAAAGGCCTTAGCGCTTTCGTCGTTCCTATGCGTTGCAAGGCCGGTAATGGAACTCGGCTCAACGGAATTCGCATTTCGAGACTCAAGAACAAGATGGGAACCAAAGGTCTTCCTACCGCCGAGCTAGAACTGAAAGGTGCTCGCGGCTGGCTCCTTGGGCAAGAAGGGAAGGGTATTCGAGAAATCTCTACGATCCTCAATATCACACGCCTCCACACCGGTGCCGGCAGTGTGTCGTACTGGTCCCGTGGCCTTGCTGTGAGCAGGGCGTACACAAAGGCTCGTAAGGTCCGTGGTGCCTACTTGTATGACAACCTACAACACAACTACTGGATGGCGGGCGAGACCGTGAAGTATTGGGGTGCGATCTCTCTGACGTTCTTTGGAGTGGCTTTGTTGGGCTGCAACGAGCAAGGTGTCGGCGTTATGGGGGGAACTCCTAGTGCGGCATTGATTCCCGATGATGAGACTGCAAGAGACCTCCTCAGGCTTCTAACGCCGGTCATCAAGGCACAAGTTAGCATGGCCGGGGTAGCCGGTATCCGCGCTAACATGGAATGCCTCGGAGGAGTTGGATACTGTGAAAATCAGGAGGATGGAGGCATACTAAACCTCGCCAAGATCTTCCGAGACTCTGTTGTGCAGACTATCTGGGAAGGGACCGTCAGTGTTATGGCCGATGATATTGGACGTGTCCTGAGGGACAAGCGCATTGCTAAGGGGCGGATTATCGAGGACGTGTTTGCTCCATGGGTGAAGAGGGCTCTCAATTCCTCCTCTCAGAAGTTCTCTACGGAATGTGCCGCGGTTCAGAAGAGACTTGATGCTCTTCTTCAATTGGTGTCGCGTGTCAAGACCAACCCTCCACAGCTTGAGTATAGTGGAAGATGGCTTCTGGATCATATCGAGGTGATTGCTACGGCCGTCCTTCTACTCCATGATGCTAATACAGATAATGATGAGGTTGCATGCCACATTGCGCGCCGGTATGTCTCATCCAAGGTATCTGAAGATACTCTGAAGCAACGGGGTGATATCGATTGGGAAACTGAGGCAATCATGGATCGCAAGATTTTCTTGGGTGCGGACTTTGTATCCAATCCTATTGAACCAAAGCTTTGAGTTTGGTAACGGACGCTTGCCAAGCCAGATTCTATTTGTAGCTCATTCACTTGTAGTATTTGGAGAAACATTGTCACTCCTCTTGTCAAGCCCTCCCTGTTTACTGTGCTTAATTCTGAAATGAAACATTCGACGCTTGAGCCTGTCTTCCGAGATCAAGCGCCTTTCATCGCTCAAAAAAAAGAGTGTTGCAACTTCACCTGAAAAGCTGAACTTCGTGTATAGGGGATAAATACTACGAAGGCAAGCGCCAATAACTGACATTGTCTAAAAGATTCGTTGCTTGATACTGACAATGGAAGAAACTTCCGCTCTCATTTGTATAGCGAATAACTCTTTCCTAAAATCGTTGAAAACACGTAGGCTACCTAGGTACAGTAGGATAGCCCTATATAGTTAATGAGGGTTCTAGATACTAATCTTATTAAGGTCGGCATTTTATGCACAGTCATGCTATTAGACGGTCCTTTGGTGGTGAGCCGACCACAGCCTAGATAGTATAGCGGAATCCCTCAAGCCCCTCAATGATCATTAGACCCTGGTCAGCCTTCTTATTGCATCTTCTGAAGTGGACGGAGAGCAAAGCTACAATGATGATCACGAGGCTATTGCAGGTGATGGTAGCATAGATGCCAGGTCGGTAAAGGGGTGAATCCTGGGTGCGGAAAACAAGCGAACCAGCAATACCGCCGATGCCTCCAAAGCCTACCAGTGTGGCGGAGCAAAAAGCACGCTTCCACTGTCCCCGGATATTGTTGGCCTATCCACGGATTATCAGCATTTGTCCAAGACTTCTATTCAATCAGATCACTGACCTGATATGCCATGATCGTAGGAAGGTTGGTGTTTGCCGCCGCAGCGACCATGAAGACACCAAAGTAACGAGAGCCGATGCTGGTCGTGAATCCCTAATACAATCCTTAGTAGTAATTATATTAACGAACCATTTAGACTTACCATAAGAACGAGTCCGACGATAGTAAGAGTACTGCAGGTAATCAATATAGGGGCCTTCGTCTTGTATTTGTCACCAAACCAAGACACAATCATCATCATAATACAGGCCATCACGTAGGGAGGGGCAACAAGAAGCTGCGAAGCTGCAACAGAGAACCCCATGCCTCGAAGAATGATGGGCAGAAAATAAGCAACGGCGTAGGATGTCGTGGTGACAAAGCAGAAGATAAGAGCAAACCCCCAAACTTTAGGATCAAGGCCGCTGGCTGCCCACTTTCTAAAGTCGAACTTGTCGATATCGGCATCGCCTCGGTCGGCGGCAATCTTGCGGATTACCCATTGACATTCACGCTCAGACAGAAACCTCCACGACTTCTCGACGCTTCGGTCAGGGAAATCAACAATGGTAAAGTATCCAGCGCAAGCGATTATCATCGTTCTATACGGCGAGCATCCTGTTAGTTGCAGATTTAAAGCATTTGATTTCGAGGGAGGAATACGCACATGATACCTTCAATAATGAAGATCCAACGCCAGCCACGGTAGTTCGAAAGTCCGTCCTGAATGTCGTCAAATCAGTATGACGCGTCAAAACATATGGGGAACAGTGTGAAGTATTAACATACCATTTGCATAAGCCCATACGCCAGAACACCAGAAAACCCACTGGCCAGAACGCCGATCAGGTAGAAGAAAGAGTAGCGGCGATGAAGTTCATAACGAGAAAACCAGGTCGAGATCAGGTACAAGCAACTTGGGAAAAAGCCTGCCTCGAAGGCACCAAGAAGGACACGGAGAGGCGCCATGGCCCACCACACATTTACAAAGCCATGGCCGAGCTACAAGTCAAGGAGTCAACACAGGTGTCTTCGAATGGGATGCTATGCCTACCATGACAACGCCCCATGAGAAGCAAATTCCGGCCAGAAAGGGCCTGGGACCAACCCTTCGCAACATTATGGTTGCAGGTGGTTGAAGTAAGGTGTATGTAATAAAGAAGAGAAGGACTAGGATAGACTATGGAGCATCATTGTCAGTAAACAGGGTCAATAATTCCCCAAACTTAGTGTATTTCTTACATATCTGTCGCCAACCAAGGCGAGATCTTCATTCATGCCAGCAATGGCTGCACTGGACAGATTGGTGCGGTCAATAAGACTGATACAATACATCACGCCACAAGTTGTTACAAGACGTCGGTCAATACGACGCTTGATGCGTTTTTCTTCGGCTGGCGTGAACTCATAGGATGCCTCTTGGTCCGAGTCCCTGCCATCGCCGCCTTCCACATGCGCAATTTCTTGTTTGACTTCTGTGTCTGCCATAATGGCCAATTTTGGATAGGAAGGTCAATGAGGTGAAGATATTACTGGCTTAGTGCTTGTCCAGAATTTTTGAAAGTGTTGATGAGCTCAGCGGGGGAAGTGGTCGACCAGCAACAACTTATGCACCCGCGTAGGAACAGCTCGGATCCAATCGCCCTTGAGACTTTGTGGTAGGCTTGATTTCCCCACGGGGACCCCAAAGATCGGGAAAACTTGGCATTCGTGATGCATGCTGCTAGTGGATTCTAGACTGGTTGGCGTGGAATAGCCCCTGTGTCTGTGGATGAGCGTGAGCCGGCGGCTCACGCATCCAGCGTTGATTGGCATGGTTAACGAGGGGAAGGCTTTCACGTACCCACGCGATGTAATTTGTATCCTGCTCGTACAGCTACAGTACCTTGGGTCTCTGATGAATACGTCACTAAGCGATTTCAAGGCTCGATAAATCTTTCCGGTGAGCCGAGATGTTTCCTGGCACATCCAAATCAGGTTACCAGACTATTTTGTTCAGGCGAACACTTTCTTACTACATTGCGGCAAATCAGATACAACCCATGGCACTGTGACACCTAATTAACATATCACTCCTACGTAATGTGCTTGTATCTCAACACAGACAGGATCATGTTCATTTATCTGAAAGTGTGGGCATGCCAGATTGTTGGCACGGTTAGGGGCAGAGCTCTAGATGACGGAATGGTTCCCATGTATGCTCATGTCTCCTTCTACAAATAGTGCAAGACTAACCTTCTCTTCCAGCCGCACGAAATTTCACCCGTTCCCTTGTTCTGAAATTTCAACCAGTCTACCCAGTAGTATTTAAATTGCATTTATTAAACCATCAGCTTCTAATCTCAAATATAGCGTCTATTGAAGCCTGTTTATAGTCTGGCTACTCGAGACTCCTTCTTCACAAGCTCACGAAGCTCTCTTCTCAGAATTTTACCAGTCGGGCTCTTGGGAATTGCTTTGAGATAAGCCACACCGCCACGCAATTGCTTATAAGAAGCAAGTTCTTGCTTGACGAACGCCTGAATGTCCTTCTCAGACACCTTTGTATGGTCTGCCACAATATAGGCCCTTGGGACTTCGTTGCCATCCTCTCCCGGCACTGGTATACCAATTACAGCCGCATCCATAATGAGAGGGTGGGTTAGCAAAAGAGCCTCCAATTCTGCAGGGGCAACTTGGAGTCCCTTATATTTAATGAGTTCCTGTACACAAGGTTTTTCAATGAGCGCAAAGTATGGGACTAATAGGAAGTGGTAGCCTACCTTCTTGCGATCAACAATATAGAACTTATTGTTTCGACGGACGCCGATATCTCCAGTCTTAAACCACTCACCGCACTTCGTGAAGGCTTCCTCCGTTGCTTTCGGATTTTCCCAATATCCTGGCGATACTGTCTTGCCTTGAACCACCAGCTCACCGGGATTTCCATCCTCCACGTCGTTCTCTTCGTCATCAAGAATACGTAACTTGGTGTTGGGCTGAATCTCCGATATGCAACCCGTATCATCCTTCTCGTCCCAAGGCTGTATAGTGACACTCCCTGTCGTCTCACTCATGCCCCAGACCTGCGATACGGTGCAGTCCAGCTTTTTCTCCACAGCCTTGGTAAGTTCAGGCCCCATTGGTGCTGCCCCAGATAAAGCATGATAAAGAGTACGGAAGTGGTCTTTTACCTGGGAGCTCTGGGATATAAGAAGATAGATGGGAGGGACACTGAAAAATGTAGTAATCCTGAGGCTTCGGTTGTAGTTGATGAATTGAGTGAAATCGAACTTGGGCATCCAAAAGACTGTTCCGCCATGCACGGCTGGGTGGATGAAATAACCCTGCATGCCGGCGATGTGTGCAGCTGGAACATGGGCAAGCGTCCGATACTGAAAGGAGAAAGTTGGATCTCGGGCTCGTTGGCGGCGGACAAAGTCGCGATGGCTGTAACCGATAACAATGGCATAGGCTACCATATTTGCTTGCGTGATAATGACGCCTAAGAACGATCAGCACCACGCATCGTTCTACGGACAGACTACTTCATATCTCTACCTTTTGGTGCCCCAGTCGTCCCACTGCTATAGACAAGACAAATGGTGCGTTTGGCTAGAACGCACGGGTCTGTGATCTTCTTCCATGAAAGCTCTTTTGCTGTCCCAGACAACAGCTCTTTGCCTGTATGGGAGAGAAGACTCCTCTTGCCATTGGTGCTATCAAGCGTGATAATCCTGTCCACTGGAAAGCGGGCCTGCTGAGCGGCTTCTTTGGCGGTTTTGAGACAATCAGGAGATGATATCAAGATGGTCGCTTTCCCATCTTCAATCTGGCGCTTCAGCTCCGAAGTCGTCAAGCTGCTACTCCCAGCGCTGTAAACACCCCCTGCTGCGATTGTACCGTAGAAGATAGTTGGGAGGAGGACCTGACCAGAGGAGATGCAAACAACGACGTCCTTTCCAGGCCCGGAAGCCCCAATTTGATATTGATGTCGAAGAACATGGGCCACACGTTTGGTGTATGAGGCAGTCTGCGCCTTGGTAATGAAATTATCCGGATGGCTAGCCTCCACATGGAGTACTGTGGAATCATCAGACGGTACATGGGCGGATTCTGCGTTGGAGAAAGTAAGTTTAAGCTGCTGTATAACCACCGGGTCTGCTTTACGTACCAAATAGAACAGTCAGGAGATCGAGATCAGGAAGGTCATAGTCAACCTTTGCATTGTAAACAACTTTCCCTGTCATCTTGAGTTTGACGGTCGTATAAGGCGCCCTCTTTTAGATAGCAATTCCGCTCTGTAGGCTGTGAAACGAGATGGGTCTTGAATATATCCTCAATGAATTTGGCGAAAATAGGGCATAAACTGGATCTGGATCTTCAATCTTTTCGCCGAAACAACGCAGGGGCACAACGCAAGTCTCATCAAGCCTAGCTAGAAAGCGAGCTCACGTGCAGAGTCAGAGCCGGTCATTCTGTACCAACAAGTGTAGACAATGGGGAAGGTTGATTGCACTAGCAAGGTTGTCCCCTGGCTTCTTTTGGAGCCGAGCCTGGGCTTGCAAGGAAGTTGGAGCCGGCGGCTCTCGGCTCGTCTCATATCCCCGCTCCTGTTGCTTGTTACTTGAGCCACCGGCACCCCGCGATCGTAGATGCTCCCTTGTGACATGCACCACATCTCCAGGTTCTGTTGCAAATTGGAATCGTCCGACATTACGTGTCTTTATTCTTACGGAGCCGTATCGTAACATCGGCCCCGATACAGCCCCATATCGATCCTATGGAACCAAAGCGGATTCGGCATGCCTGCAGTCGATGCCGGAGACAGAAACTAAGGGTCCGCCTCCATTCGTTCCTGATCCGAGCATTGCATTTTCTTTGCGTTGAAAGGCCGGATACTGACCTGCTGCAACTCTAGTGTGATTACGAGCGTCCATGCCCTCTATGCGTGAGGGCTGGCGCGGACTGTACCGAAGCCACGCAACGGACATGGTAAGTGAGATGTGTTCAATCTACGATCCAAGACCTGGTTGGCTGAACTTGTATGGTGGGTTTTAGGCGGACCAATCGACCAAAAAGCGCTGCATATCAGGCTCGCCAGAGACAGTTAGAAGAGCAGCGCAATTCTAACAACCAAGCACAAACGAGACATAGCGTCCTGGCTACTCAAGATGCCAGTGAGAATAATTCAGGCCTTCGAAGCCCCAGTTGCTCTTCAAGTACCCACATTGCACCGGAAGATGTGATTCCTTCTGGTCAACGGGCATCTGCTCTTCATCTCGTTGGTACAGTGCGTGGAACTTTTAAGCCTTCGACGAATGCTTTACTAAAACGTCTAACTTTCGGAGACAGATATTTCAAAAGTTTCATGCCATCGGTTCTAATCACAACCACAAAGTCGATGCTATACCCGCCTCGGAATCGCCTGAAAATGGCTCCGATCCCACTCAGTCCGAGATGGTGTCTGTAGTTGATCTTATAGGCATCCCATTTCCCTCGCCAGATGTCGTCACTGCTCTACTAGATTCGTATAAAGACTCAGTCCATTGGTATATACGTGTCCTTCATGAGCCATCTCTACGAGAGCGCCTAGTGCCAATTTTGGAGAGCGGTCTCGCACCACGCTCGCACCGCCCCCTGTTACTTCTGGCTTTGATGATGATGATTCTTGGAGCGCGTTTCGTTTCCGATGAGGCGTGTGAGAGGATCAATAGGGAAATGCCTTTAGCTGATCTCACATCCAATATGATGATTGCATGTGAGAGATGGTTTCTGCCATCAATGGATTGTGTTACAGTCGACACTGTCATATACGCATATCTTTTAGCCGCTCATTATTTATGTAACCGGCAGACAAGAGCAGCTTTCCTTACGTTAGGGACGACCGTACGCGCCGCACAATCTATAGGCCTCAATCGGGAGGCGCAATGGGGCGAGGTCAGCGACATCGAACGAGAAACGCGCAGATGTGCATGGTGGTCCGTCTTCATAGGAGCAGGGTAAGCAGAGAAATCAGCCCTTCGAGAATTTTTTGGCTTACAACTTCAGGTTTATCTCCATGTCGTGGGGCACTCCGCCGATGCTCAGTGAGGCAGACTGCCAGGTCCACCATCCGACCGACGTTGAAGATGCATGCAACTTGGAGCAGTGCCCAGGGTTCGGGTCGCTAGAGAAGCGAGAAGACGGGGAGATTCGGCCTGTGACTGTCGGTTCATACAACCGATACAAGGCAGAGATGTACAAAATTGCTATTACGATTATGCGCCGCGTCTATTTTACCAAATACCGCAACCCTGAGGAACTTACTCAGTTGATCGCAAAGCTGCATCAGCGGTTATTAGCACTGGAGAAATCTATTCCGCCTGAGTTGCGAGTTGAGAACCATCCCCACGATGCTTTGCAAGAGGACCCGAACATGTTTCTGCGGAAGATCTTTGCTGTCCAAGCGCTTACTCTCCAAGTATCATACGACAATATGCAAATCTTCTTGTTCCGACCATTGATCTCTATCGGCGGTATCCCAAGATCCCTTGCGGGTACTCGTGAGAACTCACCAGGGCTTACCAACCAGACGAGCCTGGGGAACGTACCCAGCCTGCTTCTAAACGTTGCGCAGAATCAGTGTTGGACATCAACGATGCGGACCTCTATGGTAGGCCAAAATTCGGATATAATGAAGCTATCCCAGTTTACCTTCCCCGCCGTACATGTCGGAGTACACACATTTTCCGCGGGCGTGATGCTGGGTCTGTTGGCTCTGACCAGTCCGCTGTCTGCTCGTGGGCAGAAAAGCAAACGCGCCATCGCCAAAATCATCCAGGTTCCCAAGGTGGCGAGGTTGAAGACGCACGTATGGGGCCAAATGACACAGATTCTCACAGACTTGATGCACGTTATCGCAACCGAGGAGACAAAGGCTCTAATAGCCGGTGTTGCGGGAGCCGACTCTAAGGAGAATCTCGCAGAGCCAGAGGTATTCGGCCAACCTTCGAATCCGTATGAGGACTTGGAATCAAATCCAAGAATAGAAGACTCGGCGGGTGAGGTATCAATAACTGCCACTGATGGAACTAATTTTGACGAGCATGCTACACTACGGATGAACTTGCCAGCGGCCGTCGAAGGCAGCACGTGCGAGATATTAAATTCTTCAGGCCCTTTCATGACGGGTGTAGAAGATCAGCAAGCTCAGTATAGCTCACAGTTTGATGTCTTTGATACACCAAACTTATGGCTTCCCCAACAACCGGCTGATCCCCTGCAGATAATGGATCAGCTGTGGATGTGGGACGGGTCTTTCTCGTACCATCAAGCTTGAGGGGTATATTCATTTAATGCCGGTGGTCACTATCCGATTGAGTGACCTACCGACTCATATTTACATCATACCGTGTGGTAAAAGCTCCTTGGCAGTATCGCAAGGCTTTGGTAAATTTCTCGCTTATTTCTAATGAGAGCGTGTTGGAATTTTCCTCTATGATGTGGGCCCTAGCGCAGGGGAGGAAAAAAGGACACAACTCTAGCTAGGTACCCGACCTTTCAAAAATCAACTATTCTTGCTGTCTTATTCTTTCTTCTTGATCCCAAATGGCTAAAGTGGTTACGCGCCTGTCGCGGTATTGCTGCAGGTTGTCCTCTTGAGCAGCAATGAGACGACGAACAAAGTAAATCTTGTCGGCGAGCAAGACAAACATTCTAATCAAGAACGTGGATTCTTGAGTTCTAAAGTTTTTGCTTGGATTTACGCAATATAAAATCATGAAGAACTCACGCCAGTCATAGCTGTTGCCGCCTTTGTTCGGGTGTCGATGGCTTTATGGGTAACACAAAGCGAGTATCTCCCTGTTGTAGGAGATGAACAGCGCGCATCTAGGTAGGCCAGAGGACGAAACCCTTGAAAGTTATTGGTGAGAGCTTAGAGACTTATCCTGCCCCTGCTTTTTTTTTTTTTTTTTTTTTAAAAGCACAAAGAAAATGTGACTACCTATCGACAGTACCGATGCGGAGATAACCTTTCTTGTGATTAGAGGCTCATCCATTCTCATATTCCTGATCAGAATTGGTGTTGGGCCAGCCGTACGTACATCATGGGTGGTACATTATATGCATCTTGCCCAAGCCGCCGGTATAATCCAAACAGTTAGAAGGAAATATACATTCTTTGGGCCATATACCACCTGACACAGTTGTGAAGTTAGGCAGCTTAAAATTATTTCCTACTCTTCTTCGCTTTTGGCCGAAGTTATGTCCTCTTCAGTTTCACCCATTTTCCGTACGCGTCACCATATTGTTTGCCAACCACACGCGTCAAAATGTGCTTTCCCCCAAACAATACGCGTCTTCACCCTTTCTCCAAACGACACCTGCAAACCTCATCAAATCCATTGATCAAGATACCCGGTCATCACGAAGACACGGAAGACACCGACGGTACGTTGTTCAACCATTTAATACGCCTCCTTTAATATCTGCTTACGCTCCTAGGTCACGATGCCGACGTCTTTATTGCCCTCCCTCGATCCGCCCATGTCATTTGATGAAGAGCCACCCAAGGTTACAAAACTCGATCCCACGAAAACGAAAATGCCAAAGATCCAAGACGGGCTCGAATTGTCTTCTCCCGAGCCAAACTTGATCGCCAAGGCGGAGCCAAAACTCAAGGCTCGCCCTGTTATTATGCGACGATGCCCAGACAAAATCTGTGCTCATGAGAGTCCCACAGACACTGCTCTCTATCAGCATATACAAGCCAAACATCGAGACATTCCCCCGTACGGCTGCACCATCGATGGCTGCCAAGATCGATTTCAGACAAGTAAAGAGCTGAATAGTCACTGCAACAGTATCCACCCAATACCACGTCAGACTCAATGGACTTGCCACCTCCGTAATTGCAATGTGACTTTCACTTCGAGGAAGGAGGTGCTGTATCACATTCGCCAATCTCATCCTGGGGTTGAGAGAAGGGAATGCAAGCAGAAAGGTTGTCAAGTGGCAGTGAGCACTGAAGAAGAAATGGACAGCCACATTTTTGACAGCCACAAAGACAAGGCCTTTTTATGCCGCGTTGAAGCCTGCCCAAGGGTATTTCCCCATATAACTGCGGAGGGAGAACACTGGAAGGTTCACCATGAAAGCATGTTGTACGCATGCCTGGCTCGAGACTGCACTGAGACGTTTCCGACTACGGACAAGAAATTGAAACATATGAAGAAGAAGCATCCCAACGAGCTTTTCGTTAATTGTACTGCATACGATTGCACACAAAGTTTTAGAACCCGAAAGGAAATGCAGGCCCATTTCCGCGATGCTCATCCAAAACCGCTAATTCCTTGCGACGAGGAAGAATGCGACATGGAATTCCCATCAACGAAGAAAATGCTTGAGCATTTCAGGTTGATTCACAAGTCCGAGTGCCATATGTGCAGCTTCGAAGGCTGTGGACACTTTTGCACTACCAAGTCAGGCATTTACCAGCATGAACGAGACTATCATGGGGACAAAACTGAGGTTTGTCCCTATAGTGGTTGCGAGGCAGCTTTCTCCTATATCGGCGCCCTTAACAAGCATATAAAGGGTACACATAATGGGGAGCCACTCAATTGTATTTTCGATGACTGCTTTGAAACGTTCGCATCTAAGTCCACCCTCACCCGACATATTTCACGCTTTCACCATGGAAGAAGCCGCGAGGTTGCCCAATATCCATGCCGGCTGGCAGCTGAAGAAGGCTGCAAAGCGGTGTTCAGTGACGAAAAAATGCTATCAATGCATCTCAACGCCATGCATAGCGGCAAGATTCCTTGCCGTTACGCTCTTGAATGCAACTGTGACCTTATCTTCACCACGACAGACCAAGAGCTACCCCATGCTCTCAGGTTTCACTCTTTTCAAATGTGCAATGTCCCGAACTGCGTGAATGCAGTCAGTGAGCGATGGATCAATGGACACAGTATGTCAGGGCACCTCAGACGCCATAGGCAATTCACGGGTGATCAGATCCCTGTGCCAACGAAGATCATCCCTGGTGACAGCAAATGGGAAGAGGTTAGTAAGCAGCAAGGAGACTATGACCCCCTGGATGCGCAGAAACTCACAGCCAACGACACGGACTTGGGCCTGATTGATGAAGACGAACTCGCGATCGACGAACCTGAACATGACGCATATGGCTGGTCTTATGCTCCATGTGATCTGGAGGACGATGATGTTCAAGTGAGTTCTGTCAGGCAGAGGAATGACAGACTTCTGGAGAGTAAGAAACAACACAAATATCCTGATATCATCACCCAATTTGCTAATACAGCCATGTTCTCAGAGTTCCCAGGTTCCAAACACATTTTAGGATTACGGTGTGTTGGTCCCGATCCTGTTATCAGACTTATTGTCGGCAAAAAATGTCCTACCAGCGCGGTGCTGACGTACGATACTGCAAATTTGAAATTGCACGTTTCATCTACCACATTACTTGCAAGGCGATGTGTTCAATGCGACGGCGAATTCAAATTTTATTCCTTCCTCAAAAGTTACGATATTTTAGCCGAAGATGGTTTCTCTCAATGCTCGCATAAAACCTGTTTCGATGCTCTTTTCCGCGGTTCACGATTCTGCCAAAAACACTTCCACGACTTTCTCCCGGAGCGTGAGCAGTTGGATGCCGCAAAAATTGAAGAGCTCCATCGCCGCTGGAAATTGGCAACGGCATCGACATGGAATGCCCAGCCAACGATGAAGAAAGTGTTGGAGCTCATGGCCCAAATTCGGAGCGGGGAAGCCGAACCATCAAAGCTAATCTTCTTAGACTTGGAGTTCAACGCTTCAACACTGAAAGTCTTTGAGATTGGCATGTGCGACGGCAATGGCAACGTGACAATGGATTGTCTAACCAAATACAGTCCACAAGTAGAGTATGCCAAATCTACTATACCAGTTCCGAGGCTGAGCAAAATCGGCATTCTCTTACGAAACTCGGTAAAGCGTCACTACTGCGCAGACGGTTCACTGACGGCTCAACAAGTTGCGAATATGCTTCGCGAGAAGGGAATAACCAAAGATACATTATTCGTCGCTTGGCATCTTTCCACGTTAGACCTAAAGGCTTTACGACAGTGGCTGGATGAAGAGGGAGAGCACGACGTTCTCCCTCCAGACAGCCATTGTGTGCCAGTTATTTCGTACTTTCGGGAGAATCTTCGACCTGCGAAATCAGGAAAAAAAGATTTTCCATGCCGGCTACCAATTATCTTTCCGTTACTGATGGGACCAGATCACCCTCTCTCTGGGAGGAACCATCATGCAGCTGTAGATGCGCTGCAACTTTACCACATGGTAAATATTTTTGACATGCTTTGCAAACCGAGCCGAGAGCGCCCTAAAAATTGGCTCAAAGGAATCGCGGGAAAATCAAGCAAGGGCAAAGCAAGTCAAACATCTATCAAGGAGTTTTTGACCAAGGGATGAGTAGTTTGCGAGGCATAATCAACGTGATTGGGAAGGGCCCGTGCCGCTAAGGATGACCGAGGGTTCGGCCCCTCAGAGGATAAAGAATAGAGTTTTCTTATGATGATTAAATGCAGGGCAGGAATCAACTTGTATCTAGAGAACTGCCAGCGACTCCGAAGGTTATCCTGTACTCCCTCCCCCACCCCCCCCACCGGCCGATGGAGAGGAATATTAAGAAACTGATAGTTAGAGAAAGATAATGAGATACCGCACAGATCTGATAACTTTGCACCACCCATTGCAGCCCGAAAGTCATCATACCCTCCTACGTGAAGTATAGGTTACCTAGGTCGGCAACAGAGGTGGTAGCTGAAACAGACCCACCGTTACAAGCACATGTACAAGTAGCGCCTCCCTACTTTTGGGTGGAAAAATACATTTTCCAAATACATGAGTGCCGGAAAGGAATTAGATGTCGGGCTGGGCAGACAAGTTCTCTCTCCTGTCGTAGAGAATTGGATATGTTGGTGCTTTAAGTTGTTTGATACGTTCTGTACCTAACTAGTAGGTAACAAATGAAGCATCACGTACAGCCTGCTTGTTAAAATGTCCTTTGTGTTGGCGGCCAAAATGACGTTGGCATCGCTCAATCACCCCGCTCTCCATAATTGAAGCAGTCTCGGGTACTTTGGCCAAGCTAGACTCCACCACGTAAACCAAAGTACCCCTGGTTACCCTGGGAATGGTTGCAACGGCTAGCGGCGGCCCCGTGTTCGGAGGCTGAAAAAAATGCGATGAGTCGTGCGATGAGGCATCGAGCGGTAATCGGCCCCCTCGACTACTGACTCGGTAGCATTAGGCCGTGTCGTGAGTCAAAGTTTTCCACCTACAAGTGCAGCAGTCGACTTCAAGTTCTTCTGCCCTGCTCTAGCCCGACAATCCCCAGCTTTTCATCTATCCCATCCCACATTGATCTCGCCCTGGGATTTTCGGCCCTGGGATTTTCGTCCCCATTCATTTGCCGCCCGCACCCTTCTGTGTCGTCGCTACACAACCCCGCAGTGACTTTCTTCTCCCTTCCATCAACCACGAACACCATCGATCGCTGCCACTTGCGACGTCCACCACGTCCTCTCGTTCAAGATGCCCATGTGCGTGATCACTACTGCTGTTCTTTTCGCATGACCAAGGCCACGCTAACCCCATACCCACAAAACCTAGGCTCAAGGAACCGTGGACGAAGTACAAGGCCTTCCCCCCCCTCAACCTCCCCGATCGCCAATGGCCCTCCAAGATCCTCGACAAAGCCCCAAGATGGCTTGAAACCAGTCTCCGCGATGGAAACCAGAGCAACCCAGACCCCATGGTGCGTATCCCTGCACGTCGACTGTATTTGAGTGGACTTGCGCGGCTAATAATATCGGCACGAATTACAGAGTGGAGAGGAGAAGTGGCGTTTCTTCAAGATGCTCTGCGACATTGGCTACAAGGAAATCGAAGTCTCCTTCCCCTCCGCCTCCGACACCGACTTCAACTTCACGAGACGCTTGGTAGAGACGCCCGGTGCCATCCCCGACGACGTCGCAATTCAGGTCCTGTCGCCCTGCCGCCCTGATCTGATCAAGCGCACCGTCGAGGCCGTCACCGGTGCCAAGAACGCCATCATTCACATCTACCTTGCCACAAGCGCCTGCTTCCGCCAGGTCATCTTCAACTTCACCGAGGAGCAGACCCTCGAGCTTGCCGTACATTGCGCCAAGATCGTTCGCTCTCTGACCAAAGACGACCCCGCGCGGTCGGCCACGAACTGGCAGTTTGAGTTCAGCCCAGAGACTTTCTCTGACACGTCCCCCGAGTTTGCCGTCAAAATCTGCGATGCCGTCAAGGAGGCATGGGGCCCAACGGTTGAGAACCCCATCATTTTCAACCTCCCCGCCACCGTCGAGATGGCAACCCCCAACGTATTCGCCGACCAGGTTGAATACTTCTGCAAGAACATCACAGAGCGTGAGAAGATCGCTGTCAGTGTCCACTGTCATAACGACAGGGGCTGCAGTGTTGCCGCAACCGAGCTAGCCCAGCTGGCTGGTGCTGACCGGGTAGAAGGATGTGTCTTTGGAAACGGCGAGCGTACTGGAAACGTCGATCTGGTCACATTGGCCCTTAACCTATACACCCAAGGTGTCCCCCCCAACGTCGATTTTTCGGATCTCAACAGCGTTATCGAGGTAGCCGAGGACTGCAATAGGATCCCCGTCCACTGCCGCACTCCCTACGCCGGCTCTCTGGTATTCTCGGCGTTCTCGGGAAGCCACCAAGACAGCATCAACAAATCGCGGCATTTGCACGGTCCCAAGATGTTCAAAGAGTTCTGGGAAGTACCATATCTCCCGTTGGATCCTCTGGATGTGGGTCGAACATACGAGGCTGTCATCCGTGTAAATTCCCAAAGCGGAAAAGGTGGGGCGGCTTGGGTTATCTTGAACAAGCTCCACCTGGATCTGCCCCGCGGCTTACAGGTTGCTTTCTCAAAGATTGTCCAACAGCACACGGATGGTCTTGGTCGTGAGCTGAAGCCTGAGGAAATCGCCGATTTGTTTGAGAAGTCATACTTCCTCCGCGAGAACCCCCGATTCTCTCTTATTGACTACTCCATCGCTCCCGACCGCTCGCAGTCTCCCAGGCCGCCTTCCCCTGGCAAGACGCAGGACACGAAGAACCTGTTGCGTGTCTTTGAGGGTGTCATTCTGGTAGACAAAAAGGAGATCAAGCTCCGTGGACGCGGCAACGGTCCCATTTCCAGCATGGCTAATGCCCTGAAGGAGATTGGCGTTGACCTGGATGTCCACGACTACAAGGAGCACGCAATTGGTGAGGGTCGTGGCGTTAAGGCCGCCTCGTACATTGAGTGCAAGATTGGAAACACCAAGCAGACGGTATGGGGAGTTGGCATCCACGAGGATGTTGTCCAAAGTTCCCTGATCGCTCTCCTGAGCGCTGCTAGTAGTGTAAGTTGCAACATATTCGTGAGAGCAACCTGTTGCTCCCAGCCTGCTTCCAAAGATTTGGCTAACCAGTCGCTGCAGTTCATCACAAGCAACCCCCCAAGCCCCGTGTTGAGGCCAATTGCCACTCGTCCCAAGAACCTGGACCCCAGCAGTGCTGCGAATGGCGCGGCCAAGCAGCCAGCTGCCGGAGCTCAAGAGACCCAAACTGTGGTTTCCGTCTTGGAGGAAAAGGCGAACGGCATGTAGAGTAGTGTATTTGATGAGGATGGAGCATTGACGGATTGTCACTCATTTTGTTTCTTTTAGCTCGTCATCTATGGACGTTTGAAATACGATTATGATGAATTAGCATGGGAGGAGAAAAAAAAAATCAAAAGGCGAATATCTCGAATGGGAAAACTGTCTAGGGCATCAGATTGGACCTAAAAGTTATTGAAATAGCAATTGCACATCTATTGACTGGTTGGCGCATACTTCTCAACCAAGAGTCAACTACACGAGGTTCCAGTGATCTCAATGCTCAAAAGTCCTTATTTTATGGCTTGCTTTCGCTCAAATTCACCGATATTGCATATGACACATCCAGCATTTTACTTTTCAAATACGTATTTCCATGAAATTATCGCTAATCCAAGATGGAAGTCTCCAGCGTGGCCTGACAATCGGTAATCCTCCTTCCACTGCAAGAATTACAACAAGCTATTCGCACCCCGTTTCATTGCCGGTGATGTAGGAGAAAAGACTCTTCTCGATCTCTAAGCTGCCCAGGCCACGGGATTGCGGCCCTCGCTCTCGTAACGCTCGAAGAGGGCATCCTCATCTCGAGCCACGGCACCCGCCATCTTGTGTTTTCCAAAGGTAGACGGGAATTTGCAGTTGCCGCTGGCACAGGAGATGCGCTTGGCGAGATGTCCGTCAAACTCGTCGTCACGCTCGTAAAGAGAGTCTTCGTCTCGCATCTTGATAGCCCCCGCCATCTTGTGCTTTCCAAAGGTAGAGGGGATCTTGCAGTTTCCGCTGGCGCAGGAGATACGCTTAGTGAGAGAGACGTCGTAGTCGTTGTCACGCTCGTACAGGGAATCCACGTCGCGCATCTTGATAGCCCCTGCCATCTTGTGGCCCCCAAAGGTGGATGGGATCTTGCAGTTGCCGCTGGCGCAAGAGATGCGCTTGGCGAGAGAGCTACCACTCTCATCTCGCACCCTCCACTTTGGCGCCGCGCCAGGGCCCCCAAAAGTGGCCTTGACGTAACGGCTCTCCATGTTGACCATGTCACCCTGAGAAGGGGAGGCGGTGGCTAGGCCAGCGAGACCGACGAGCACGACAGAAATGTATCCGATAGCGACCATTTTGGTGGTTGTTGGAAAAAGTCACAGATATTTGAAAAGTACGAGGGAGAAAAAGTGATTTGAAAATAAAAGCTGAGGCAATCCAGTTGCTCTTGGTGTAAGAAGTGAAGCGAGACCAGCTCGAGAGGGTAGAGTGAAGACTTGAGGTGATTGTTGGAGAACCAGCCAGTCTACTTGCTCGAGAACAGGCTTTTTATACATACGAGAATCTAGTTGTACGGTCTGAACTTGGGAAATCAGTCTGGCTAAGAAGGATTCCACCTGTGTTCCATCTGGCTACTCTGTGACAGCTGCAGCTTATTTTCCGCATCATGGATGTCATCCTTCACCCGGACTTCGTCAATGCCAGTCTAGCATCGCAACTAATTGGGAGATCTTTGCGCGAGAACAGTCGGATCCCGGGAGAGGTTGAAGCAGATCGCACGGGCATGGTACTGACTATCCCCCACGATTGGTCGACAACCGAGCCAGAGCTAATTTTAGCCATCCATGCATAACTCTCCTCGAGCTGATTGAAACCCTAGAATAATGTTTGGAATTATTTGCTTTTACGATGAATTTCAATTACCTTTGATTATTCCATCTGAGAGAAAAGAAGCTGGCGGTATTCTGTTGCCCCTTGGTGCTTTCTAACTGGGTAGTGTATAGAGCTGCGATACATCGCGACAGTTGTGCTATCAATCGTTTGGACCCATTCACTGCTAATACCCATTCGTAACTTACTAAGTCCACTCCAGTCACGGGTCAGCCAAGAAAGGGATCGTTTGCTCTTCGGAATCCGGCTCCAGCTCCCGTACGGAGAACCACCTCTCACACCCCACCACTCGGTTCCTCGCCAATGCGCTGGCTCGTAACATCGTAACTGAAACGCTCAAGATAAATATTCCCTTTTCCTCCTGAATTATCACTTGTGGAACGTCTTAGTGATTATTAACGTCTATCTGCATAGGGGCAACTGGATCCTTTGCCGCTTTATCTCGGCGTCTTTCAACTTTCCTTATAGGGAGAATTGGGCACATTGCTCTCAAAAGAACTAGAATGATTATCGTGTTTTTAACCGAACTTCAATAGCTTAATTATTGTGAGCCTAGGTGCGGTATTCCCCGAGACTGACTTGTCTGTCGCAGTATTCTGAAAACTCGAGCTTGAGTCTTAAATAAGCCTACCTGGCTGGTTAGTCTAACCACCCTTTGAGATTTCAAGTCGAATAGCTACACTCGTCATTCAATCTCAATTCGTTGGAACTCCTTGGTCCCCAGAGCTTCACCATACATAATTCCACGGACGTGAGCATGCCCAATCAACCTGTACCTTCCATCAGATGTAGCCCTCAATAAGAATGGGTACCCGCTGCCTTCAAGGATCACGACTTTATCACCAGGGAGTACCACCACAGACCCAATACCCAACAGCCCTTTTGAAGTAGTAAAAAATCTTCGACAAATAAACATAGCTCTCAAAGAGTTTAGATATATATCCATGTCGCCCAAAGTGGTGTCTAGGATGTTTCCTTGCGTCTTATCAGATGAGAGCAAGGAAACAAGGTTAGAGACATCGTCCCAGGTGGGGAGGTCGTGAGATTTGCTCTTCGCCAGTAGTGATTCGAGAAGAGATTTCACCGATAGCAACTGACTGCCGCTTATTTCTGCTTTCAAAATCTGGGCCGCGATTAGGTGTAAAGATGCGCTCCGAAATGAAGGTCCGTAGACTTTGGAACTGGGATGACGATTGCTGTTTCCTGGCAAATCAGCTATTAGAGTGCGCCAGAACGCCTCGATAATGTCTTCATAAGTACTTCCGTTGTCTAACTTTTCTTCCAAAAGTTCGAGTGAATCAAGAAGGCCGCCGCCCTTCGTCATTTCGTCGTAATCTGCGCCTATGGCGTCGACTGTATCCACGACAAACCCGGACACTGCGAGAATCTTGTTATCCTGAGAATCTAGTCTCCTGAGGGGACATTCGCCTTGAATGCCAGCGCTATAGATGGAACCGCCCCTTGTCATCCAACTAACAGGGTAAAGATCAACGCAATAATCGGGTACCCAAGAAGGTAGACCCATCGTGACACGGGTAGATGGGTCTTCAATAGAATACAATAGGGGCCCTAGTGATGACTTGGAAGAAAACTCTAAAAACACATCTTGGACGGACTTCTTGTAGTCAATGTCGTCAACTGGCCAGTCGAAGGTGCTAAGACCGAGAATCGCAAATATCTTATCCCTGGGGTCCGAGCATTGTCGACTCCGGCTCATGCGGGTTGCAACATGAATAGAGTGCAATTTCCCGCGAAGGAATGTTTTCGAGGTCCTGGAACGAATAGCGCTGATCCTGTCTTTGAATGCCGATGAGTAAATCTTGTGCGAGTATTCCTTATAATGATTTTCCGGATGCTTCAGAGCTGATATGCCTCGCTCTGCAAGGTAAGTATCCAAAACCATGAGCGAACGATCAAGAAATCCCTTGATGGGTGTCCGAAATTCGCCGCACCACAGCACTCCATTGCTAGGCAGGAGGCTCTCTTGAATGGTCCATACTCGGTGGAACCACGATCGGTCTAGAAAGAGGGCCAGACCTTCCCATTGTTCGTCTGTAAATGGGGATATTTCCAAGTAATGGAAAATCGACGAGGTATTTGCATATATCTTCTCCGGCCCAGCAGACGCCAATTTCATTCTTGCATCGAAGTCGTCATCGGCGAAATTATTCAGAGTCTCCATCTCGATAAAGGGTGTCGGTGTGTCGGGATCATCGAGCCCGAGCCAGACTATCACAGATTCGCAGTTTGCAAAAGTCTTGCTCATCATCCGAACCTGGGCGTTCCGCTCATCGAGATCTGTCTGGCTGATGCAAATTGAATCCACCCAGATGTATTGAACATCACTTGGTGGGTTGCGGCAGAATTCTTGTAAAAAGTCATGTAGATTTTTCGTAATCCAGAGGCTTCCCGACGGCCAAGCATCCATACTACTTGGCGGACCCGAAACAGTGATTCTAGTGGGCTGTTTCAAGATGTCCAGCTCTGAGTTAGGTACATCTTTCGCGACGGAGTGAGGGTTGCCCCAAGTGTATGATAAGGTGTGGTATGGTGGTGGTGATTTCTTGCTGTCGACATCGACTTCAACCAACTGACAGCTCAATATGCCATTATTGATAGCCAGGTCTGCCGAGATAAGGCGAATGCTATCGGGGTTGAGAAGAGGGCGATATTGGTAGTGAGTGTGTTCCATTTTCTCCTTCGATGGCGGTTGAGCGGGTATATCGGAACCAGAGGGTCTGAAATGCGAACTCATCAGCGGCTTAGGGTCAGTTGGTTAAGTGAAAAAGAGAAATTCAACGGTAAGAAAATACGACTGTAGAAGTGGAGGCCGATTTATAGTAGCTCTTCCCGCGCGAACATTCACCATCAGGCAATGGGTCAAGAGTGTGTCTGAACTCTGCTACGAATATGCCATCTGATTGACCTCACCCCGCATCGCTATTTTCAGTCACGTTTGAAAAGTCCATAGGCCGGCCAATCAAAAAGGAACTGAGGTGCCTCTCAGTAGCATAGGCAGCCTGCATGGATGCCTCGCTGGTTCGCAAAGATAAGCAATGTGTAAGCAATTCCCACATTCTCCGCGTCGTCTCATGTAAGAGGGCCACGCGGGACTGGGAATACATAGATTGTTCCCATGGCGGGAGTGTACTCGTCTTCATGCTCAAAAGGCGGCGTTCAATATGTAGCAAAATGAATACTAAAATGTGGCCGATGATTGGTTCGTTGAAAGGAGGCTGGACTTATTTATGAGCTGTTTGGGCTATCTATTATATTTCGACTAAGCCCTGTTTTGTTACATGAAGGATATGTTACCGCGGGATTTAAATGTTACAATATTAGTTAGGTACTTCTAAGAACCAAACTGCTATGTTATAATGTAATATACCTTTAAAGAGTCAATATTGTATTCTCGTTTCATATACAGCACTGTTTATAAATAGCTTTGTATTTAAATATTATCTAAGAGTTTCAAAAGAGATGTATCGTACGTTAGTTGTCAAAAGTCTAGAGTATCAAATCAATCTTTTAAGCGCCCAGATTCTGCGACTCGCAAAGTCCCCGATAGATGCCCCCCAGAGCAATGAGCTGCTCGTGCGTCCCCCTCTCTACGATCCGACCATCCTGGAAGACGCAGATCACATCCGCATGCCTGATGGTCGACAGACGGTGCGCAACGGCCACAGTGATGCGATCGCCCGATGCCGCCGCCTCGTTGATTGCATCTTGCACAACACGCTCCGACTGTGTGTCCAGCGCGCTCGTGGCCTCATCAAGCAGCAGCACGCGTGGCTTGCGGATAAGTGCCCGCGCAATTGCGATACGCTGGCGCTGGCCGCCCGAAAGCTGCAGGCCATTGGAGCCGCACGGGGTCTCGAGACCGTCGGGCAGCGAGCAGATGAAATCCCAGGCGTTGGCGGCTCGGCAAGCCTCGATGATCTGCTCGTCCGACACAGGGGAGTCGTCGTCGTCGGAAGGCAGACCCATGGCAATGTTCCTTCGGATCGTGTCCGGGTAAAGAATCGGCTCTTGTTGTACCAGGGCGACTTCGTTGCGGTAGAGCCAGGGGTTCATCTCATCGATGTTTCTGTCATCAATCCTGATGTGACCCTTGACTGGATCGTAGAAGCGCTCTAGCATCGAGATCATCGTGCTCTTACCACAACCAGAGGCACCAACGAAGGCGACAAACTGGCCTTTTTGGATATCGAGGTTGATACCGCGTAGTACGCGTGCCTCGGGGCGGAGTGGATAGGAAAAGTGAACATCCTTGAGCTCGAGCGGAGAGCACTCCTTGGGGCCAACAGCTCGGTTGTCCTCCGTCTCCCGGATCGATGGCTGGAGCTCAGAGAGCCAGAACATGTAGTTGGCGGCATTGACGGCCTTGGTTATGCCTGTAGAGAATAGGGCGTTAGTAAATCCTTCATCTCCTTCATCTAGGAACACATTTACATACTGCTTGCAAACCCATACATGACCGAGGCTTGCTGTCCCGCGAAGAAGACTCCGAGATACGCTGAAAAGAAGCTGACGATATCCATCTCGCCAAAAGACACAAGCCGGCATCCATACCTTCTACGTATTAGCAAGCGCTTCTTATATGGTATCGGGAACAATACTTACCAGAATCCCAAAGCCATGAAAGAATACTCCACACTCTGAGTAAAAGCAAATGGAATCATAGTCAATAGTACGGGTTTGGTGGCATATCCATTACCAGCATCCAATTCAGCCGTATATCTGTCCAACACAGTTGGCTCAAGAGACAAGGAGGATACAGTTCGGATGGCACCAATGGCCTCGGACGCAATGGAAGCACTGGTAGAGAATCGATGAGAGATCTTGACATCCATTGCAGACTCGAGCTTCATGCGGAGGTGGCCAGCCAAGATCATGGGCGGAAGGCCGGCAAAGACGATGACGACGCCGAGTTTCCAGCCTTGAACCAGAGCGAAAATAGAGCAGGCCACGACGCCAAGGGCAGAGATGGAGATGAGGGCAATGTTGAACCCCATGAGCTCAAAGATGGAGTAGGGGTAAGAGGTCACCCGCTCAGCAAGAGCACCAGTGGTGTTCTCCGGGCGATCAAAAAACTGCAAATCTTGGCGGATGATATCATCGACCATGTGTTTACCGCACTTGCTGCCGAATGTCTATTTTGCTTTCGTCAGTTTCATGTATCTCAAGTCCGCGGTGAGGTTGTGTCCAAGCCTACCGTGCTAATCGAATTGGCAGTATAGCCAATGATGAAGTATACAACCAAGCAACCAATAGCGATGACGAGATTCATGAGGGCGAAGAAGTTTCCTTTTTCCTCCATCTCGGACCCCGTATACTGGAAGACATTGACAAGCCGCGACATCAGCATAGCTTGACCAGGGAACGTACCAGCTGGGATATTGTCAGCTTCGATCTGGTTCTCATGAGAGGAATCAACTGTCCCACTTACCAGCCACAACGATGGCGAGGAGTAGCCTGAGGTAGCGCCATTTCATCTCCGGTGTCATAGAGATCAAACGCTGGAGGGTAGCAAAAAACCCTACCCTCTTCCATTTCTCGAAGTCTTCGTTGACCAAGCGCGCATCCATCTGCTTCCTCGTCGTTGTCGAGTATCCTGTCAGTGAGTGGTGCAAAACATTCTTGTCACCAGGCTCGCCATCAGTGTCATCTGCTGATTCGGAAGAGCTGGTCTCATCGGGCTCGGCATTAGACGTCACTGACAAGTCCTGCGCCTGGACCAGGCGGGCATAGGCGCCGTCTTGGCTCATCAGTGTTTCATGCGTGCCCTGTTCAATCACCTTTCCCTGCCGCATGACGACGATGTTGTCCGCCGCCCGGATAGTTGCCAGCTTATGTGCGATGGTGATGGTCGTGCGGCCTTGGGACACGTTCGAAAGGGCCTTCTGAACAATCTCTTCAGCATGGGGATCTAGCGCACTCGTTGCCTCGTCGAGCAGAAGAATGCGAGGCTCGGAGATAATGCTCCTCGCAATAGCCACCCGCTGCTTCTGGCCGCCAGATAGCAGACCACCCCTTTCGCCAATGACAGTGTCGTAACTATCAGGAAGTGCACTGATGAAGTCATGAGCAAAGGCAACCTTGGCTGCGTCCTGCACTCGGGCCATCTTCTCCTCGCGAGAGTCTGTCTCCCAGGGAGTGCCAACCAGCCCGTTTACGATATTGTCATATACCGACCCGGAGAACAGGACTGGCTCCTGCTGGACTAATCGGACGTGCTGCCTGAGCCATCGGAGGTTGAGCTTGTCAATGGGCTTACCGTCGAGCTTAATGGTGCCCGCGCTGGGGCTGTACCACCTCTCCAAGAGACCAACAATAGTGCTTTTTCCGGAACCGCTGGCACCCACCAGAGCCGTCACTTTCCCTGCCGGAATGTTGAGCGAGAAGTCCTCAAGGACTGGGATGGTCGGGCGCATGGGGTAGCTGAAGGTGACATTCTCGATCTCGACATGCCCTGGCACTTCCTGCGGCTTCTCGCCCGTCTCGTCAAAAGGGTCGATGGACGAAGTTCGGTCCATGAGCCGGAATAGCTCCGTGGCGGCCACTGTGGCCTTTGTGAAGTCAACCATGTATGGTGCTATTGAGGTCAAACTCGACGAGGCGGTGATGACGGACATCAGGACACTGGAATACTGTTAAGTCCCACGGGGTTGACTTTGAAGGGAAATAGGGGCTGTTTGACTTACGTGAACACATCACCAGGATTCTGGACTTCTCCTCGTGCAATCATACGGATAGCTTGCCAGAAACACAAACCCATCCCTGCATAGATGACAAAGTACTCTGCAGAGAAGAAAGTGCCAATGATGGGATTCTTCTTGTGCCCCAACCTGGCTGACTCCGAAAGATGCTTATTCAGAGTCCCGACCAATCGTTTCCGCAGCCCAAAGGCATGTATAGTGCGTGCGCTGGATAGGATACTCTCCGCCAGTGATGCAGCCCGAGCATTGACAGCGAGCACCTTAGTGTCGATGGACGCGTTCCTGGCGGAGGCAGTGCCCGTGATGATAAGAATAGCAGGGGTGATGCAGCTCGTAATGAGAGTCAGCTTCCACTGGGTGGCAAAGGCCAGGGCAAAGGCAGAGATGAACGCCGACAAGCCCTGAACCAGCAACCCAAGCTTCTCTGATATCCCGCCCTGGACCAACTTGCCATTCGCGGCAGCCTGCATCGAGATGGAGCCTCCAACCCCAGAGTCGAAATATCCAATCTCCTGCCTCAGTCCCGATTTTAGGTATTCATGGCGGATGTTGCGTGTGATTCTGTAAGCGGCGAGTGTGAAGAGCGAGCTGTATAAGTATGTGACGAAGAATCGTCCCAGGCCGAGGAGGAAGAAGTACAGTCTAGTTGATAACTCAGTCAATTTTCAAACTCCAGAGGTTAATAAAAGTAAACCAAGGTAAACTTACGCAAGGCGGCTTGATTCTTTGCGAAGCTCATCCGGTGAAGACGCGCCCGTAGTGTAGCCCGTCACAACGGTGATAAACTGGCCAAAGATCAAGTTTACCATGGCCACGCCGACACCCGAGGCCATGGCGAAGGCCACGCCGGCTGCCTGCATCATGTGCTCTTTTCGGGATCCATATCGAAAGATTCTCTAACAGATGGCAGATTGTCAGTGTCAGATCCAGAGTTGGAAAGGCCCCACGGGCCGCGGCAGAATTACGCCGCAACGTACAAAGTAACCTCCTTCACCAAGATTCTGTTGATCCTTTTCGACATCTGATTCCGTATCGTTTCGAGGCTGTTGGACAGCCGTGGGCTTTTCCGATAGAGCGCCCATTTTCTGGTTCTGTTGCTCCGTTTGTGGTCGAGTCGAAATCTTGGCGGTGGTTGTAAAGAGATCTAAGTGGTCAAGGGGTGAAGAGCAAAGAACTTGTGGCAGAGACGCTGAGAAAAGACAAAAAAAGAACGACCCGATACTCTATCGATTTAGTTGATGTTTTATGAGGGCAAAAAATTGAGTTAGATGGGTAGCATGGAGTATTTATCAACTCTTTGTTCTCTCCTATTGTTGAAGACATTGTACTGCGACCCGCAGTTCGGCGTCTCGCAGTTTCGGCGCAGCGAGAGGCCGAAAAAGGCACGTCGCTCTCGTGTAAGCAAGTAAGCGATCAATACGATCTGTCAAAGCATCCCGTTTGGTCCAATGCCGTGCATGAAATTCATTCACCTGGGGGCTTCGCCTGATTGCCCCGATACTATACACGCTATCGGAAGAAAGCACAGGATGAGTCACAATTCACGTAACGCCGATGACCCATCATGAAGCCCTTTGAAGGATTGAAAATCAGCTTAGTACTGCATTGGTGCATATTTCAAGGCTTTTCATTCTTAATATCTCCTTGAGCATGAGGCAGGGGTTTCCCCCATTTCTCAGCCTAATGCGAATTAGAGACTTTCTTATGCATACATCATTTCAAGCACATGGCAGATTTCTTGGACTCTCTCTCTCTCTTCTTATTTTAAAAGCAGAGTTGTGATTGTTGCGGCTGTCATGAACTAAGGTACATCTCAAGAAAGGGAAATATGTAAAAACCATGTCTCTCCAGCATAAATGCGATAAACTGGCTGGATCACGCACGCTATTTAACGAAAAGTGACTGCGGTTTCCTCCCTGATATTGGATGTAGAAAAAACAAATGCTTAGTGGTCCCTCAAGTACATCTTCAAATATCAGGTTGATTACTGTCCAATAACCCTATCATCTGCTGGCTCCAAGAAAACCAATTCGCCAACTGCGGGTTCGGCTCAACCTCCGGATGGGGCACTGACGTGTCCATCGGCATGTCCAAATAGGACATGGTTGGCAAGGCGGTAAAGTCTTGTGCCATGTCCTGATGTGTGGGCTGATATCCGAGCGAGCTGAGGTAGGCATCCATCTCTGTGCGCAACTCGGCGCTGTTCACTTGCGAGGGCGTCAGTGAAGCCTTCAGCTCCGAGTAGCGGCTGGCGACGGTGTGGAGGACTTGGAATAGGCGATGGTGGTTGTCTTTGAAGTTGGAAAACGTGCTGGCCACTTCCATCGACTGGACGAAATTGCCCATGCGGTTCAGGTCTTCGTCATTTCCTGTCTCGATGACATGGCAGAAGAGTACGACAAAGGATATAAAAGGCATGAAGTTCAAAACCCTGCAAGATTGTAAGTCATGATCACAACATGGGGTGCCAAACATCAAGAAAACGGGACATACCAATTCACCTGTGCAGATACGAAGGGGGTACCTCGCTCCTTGAGCAGCGGCACGAATTTGTGATGTATCTCGATGACACTGCGAGCAGATGCGATGCATTCCTCGGTGAAGGTCTTCGAAGGACCTGTAGTGGGAGGCGGGGCCGCACGCTGGATGAGAGTGAGGATGGACAAGCAGTGGATTTCATCTGAATGATAGATGAACTCAACCAACTGTTTCATCTTCAGGGCTTGCGCGGGGTCCGATTGATTGGTGGGAATGGCATCCTAATGCGGACGTAAAAGTCGTTAGCAACCTTTCCTGTTAACAAGGCAGCCAAGTGATTGGTGTTCCCCTTACCCTGACTTGGCGATGCGTCTCACGGATATCTTGCAGCTCCCTGGTAAGCTCTGCCACCGTTTGCTGCCGCACATTGGCGGGCAGATGAAGAGCCTCTGCCGAGTATAGGTCCTCGTAGACTCTACCTGATAAGCGAGCAGTTCTAACCATGTTCCGGTAGGCATTCATCCCCGAATTCAGAGGGAATTTGGGGCCGCCTGGTAGTGGCACAGTGATGTCAGAATTCGGGATAGTTGACGACCGGCCCAGTCCAAGAGTGAAGCTTCGCTCGAGAAAGTAGATGGCCCAGAATAGCAACCCTGCTTTGTTGGGCGAATCACTGCCTTTATCAGCGCCCTTTTGCCGGGTATGATAACCCAGAGAATATGCGGCTTGATATGCGGCGGTGATCAAAGTACAAGATAGAAGAGGTTTGAATGATTCCATCGCAAAAACAGCCTTGTTTCAATGTTAGAATAGCGAAATTAAGAAAATACACTACTAAGTGAGCGTGGGTAATACGTACACCCAGGATCAGTGCAAACGTCATGTCAAAGCTGGGCTTGATATACAGAGACAGTCGAGCCAAGGCGTTTGTCAGATTTTCGGCGCATATTGCTTTATTCTCCTCCTGATCATCATGCTGTCCGAACAGGACTGTTATATCTAGTATTAGCCAGGACGTAGCTCATTGGAGTGAATGGGGGATGATTCCATTTCTAGGAGGGGGGAGGCACTTGCAATAGAGAACTGCGTTGAGTATGATTAACTCGGCATCAGAGTAATCTTGTGAGAAGTACACCTTTAGACACATGTCCGAGATGCTTGGTACGTCGATCACAGAGGAGAGATGATAGATGATTATTTTAGCTCGGTCTATATGAAACGTTTAGCGATCAGTCGCCAAGATCCTAACAACGTATATTGGCGTTGGATGGATGTAGTGGGTATGTACCTTCTGTGCTCCTGATGACGGCCACGGAATCTTCGATGGGTGGCATTTTGGGACGCACACGAACCGGTGTTGGCGCATCCGTGGCGGAGAAGGCCATGTCTAGTGAGCTCTGCTGTTTGTGGAGGACATCGACGATATGGCCCAGGGCATCTTGGAGTTCCAGGGAGTCAAAGACGTGTCCTTGATCTCGATCAGAGCCGACGACCTTCTTCAGGAACGCGACGGCGAAGTCAGATTGGGCAGAGAATGAAGATGGCCCTTCGGTGACGGGAAGTGAGTCGCCCTCCTGCTGCTCCTGCGCGGGGGTAGATGATGCAGTGCCTCGTGCTTTTGGTTGTTCAAGGTTTACCCTCGGAGCTACCGGAGGAGATGAGGTGCCGAAGCCACTGCAAAAACTCCTCTCCTGTGCGCTGGTCTGTCCAGGAGAGGGATCCGATTCGTTGAGAGGGGAGGCAGATGACGCTGCTCTGGTTCCGGGTCTGTTTTCAGCAACGAGATTCTCGACTAGACGGCCCATTCTTTCCAACCGCTGGTCAAGTGAATCGAGTTTGCCATCACTATCCGTTTCGACCTGGTCAGTCGAGCCCGGAGAAGGAGGGTAGGGAAATAGAGGATTGATCTGGGGGTGCACTCACTTCTGGCTAGAGGATCCGGCAGCTCGCGCACGCCTGGCTCTCGGAACTCGGGGTGAAGTTGTGCATTTTACGTTGTGCTTCCTGCAATTTGCACAGGGGCTAGTCTTGTCGCAGCGAACCTGATATCCGCGTGTTGGTTTTGCAGCACCCAAGAGCAAGAGACAGTCAACTTACCTTGCGAGCTCGGCATTGGTCACACTGGAATATCCGTTAGCAGCCACTAGAAATCAAAGCACCTCTGGGTTTGCTGGCGCTGGCGACGGGCCCTTACAGCTTTGATACTGATGGGCGCAGCCACTGGCGCACGCTCGGGGCCCCCATCTACTGTTGAGGTGTCGGCCATGAATGCAGTTCGGTGAGGAGTGATTAGTAAAGACCGAAAGTGCGCACCGCACGGCAACGAAAGAAGACGCGAAAAATACGATAATCACGGGGAGGGAATTGCGGTCGGTATTTCGAGGAGAAGAGGAAATGTGCCTCCGCACTCTCGCACTTTCGGCATCTTCGGGGTTATGATGATCCCGAGTTCACCAGCCAATCGGACCGGCGAAACCAAGTGCTGTGGGTCGACGCGCCCAGCTTTGGTTCTGTCTGACACTGAACTTGGAAAATGAGATTAGATTGGTCTCATCATTGTAGCCGCAAAAGATGGATGTTTCTGGTCAAATTTAGTCTCGGCAGTTGACGATATTTGTCGCACCCGACCGTTGATGGTAAAGATGCTCCCTGTGAAATGGAACACGACAGGGACTTGAGCCACTGGCCCCTAATTTATAGTGGCTACCCTGTTGGCTACAGTCTCCTGGAGGTAAGGTATGTAAGGTACTGTAGGTAAAATGATGGAAGTACATTGCCCTCCTCGTCGCTGATGAAATGGTTGGCACGAGCAGGATATCCATGAAGTAAATGGCCTTGCTACGGCGATACAAGTTAATTTAAATTCATACAGCAATAGAAGACGGTCAAACAGTGATGTCTCATGAAAGTGTACATCTGCTGACACGTCCTTCAAGTATCGGCCGAGTACCAATCAGGCAGCAGTCTCACAGGTACAAAACCGCATCGCCCAGCTTCAGCGGTGGCCATATTTAAGGGCACTCAGTCGTCGATTTTTTTTGTTACTGTTCAATCATGAAAGCTCCTGAATAGCAAAGCAAACACTATCAGAACATATTTCTCCCGCAGCCATGCCTACTTTTACCTTCTCTCCCACCGCAGAAGTCACACCGACTATGCTTTCGGCTTCCTCTACCCATGCCAAAGTGTGCATCAAGCCCATTGACGCATACGTTGACGCTACTATTAAGCCCTCTTCACCAGAGTCTTCTTCGGGGAGTTGGATCGCAACCGTCGGGGACCTCCCGCAAAGCAATTCACAACAAGACCGGAGCGCAATCCTGCACTTCACCAAGGGGGAGCTTGGGAAATATTTGGGGTCGGTGGATCTTGGTCGTGTTTGAATAGCTGTCTCACCGGTTCTTTGATAGAACTTAATCTCGGAAGGCATGTTTACTCACTCTCTCTGAGGGAATACCGATATTGCGAATAGTAATTTAGCAACCAGAGTAGAATGATGGTACTTATTCATACATGTATGAGACAGAACTATCCAAACCAATGACAAGAATGTTTTTCATGCGAGGAACCCTTGCGCACAGCTGTCTACTCGAGTCTTTCGTTGCCAGGCTAGCCTTCGAGACTCCTCGACAGATTTTGTGGCAGTTTTGATCTTCACTCGGATGGTGCATTGAAGGTGCCAGCTGGCTGCTCACTTGCCGAGCTCAGGAGCGGTCTTCTCGCTGGATCCTGATGTTCCTCTTCGCTATCGGAGTCTGCTAAGTGGTAGGCCAAAACCTTGATGAGGACCAAGACAATGATAGCCTCGGTGAATTCTGTCAAGATAACCCCTACCATACCCAAAGCGGTGACGAGCTTGAAGAGCGCGGGAGTACCAAAGAGCTCGCTGGCGCCGAGTATGATGAATGGTGAGAGAAAACCATAGATATAACGGAGAGGGGCTACAATAGCCACAGCGAGGAGTGGTCCACGAGATGTCTGGCCATGGTGTCAGCTCTTCTGTGTTCCGGAGGTGAGAGGACAATTGAAACTTACCCTTTTCCTGGTCCTGACCAGAATGACTATTGTTATAACCAGATATATCAATTTGATGATGAGTGAAAGAACCAGAACCACGACTTCAGCGGCCGTGGGATGTCTTATTCCCGAGGGTCCATCACCTAGCAAGCCAAATACCATTACCACAGCATTGACGATGGCGAGAGCGACAGCGACCCCGAGACCTTTAATCAGTCGATCGGAAGCGTTTGGCGGAGAGTCTGAGCTGGACGAGGTATCGGCAGTTGGTCTGTGGACGAAATCTACGAGGCGTACGAGGAAGCTTAGGACCAGAAACGCCACCATAGAGTTAAAAACACCAGTGACAACACTGATATACTTGATAGCTTGCAATCGTGGGTTCGGCTCAGACGGGTTTTGGACCTCATGTGGGATCAATGCCAATGGCACAAGACTTAGGACCAGGAGACTGAAGCCACGTTGACCGTCTCAGCGACTTGGAAGGTAGACCAGCGGAGATAGTGGAGGAGATGGATACTGACATAGAAGTTGACAACGCGGTCGTCCTTGGGCGAACCTTTATCTCTGCCGCGGCAGTAGCATGAGGGGGGAGATCTCTGAAGGCGAAGTAGACGCCGGCGAGAGAGATGACAACGGCACTAGACAACAAGACCAGGTCGACTACTTGTAGGGTGATGAATGGATATCTATGTGGATCGTCATCCATGGTGATGGTAGGTAGCAGGTCCATAGTTGCCTTTGTAGTGTGGAATGGGCTTTGACGGTGGCGATGCTCTATTTGGAGAGTAAGGTCAGAAAGTGATGTTCCGCCTAAAGTACATGTAAAGTGTGGAATAGTCCGGGTATTTAAGGGTATGATATTTAAGCGAGGTATATACAGGGATTGACTAATAATGTGCGCATCAGCAGACCGTTAAGCTGGCTGTGCCTCACGTCACCAATCCTTCCCAAGAAAGATCTTCAACGCTCGCACCCTGAGCCGGTTAAAAACTATGACATGACAGCTAGGCAACCGTAGTTTGCAGGTTCCTCTACCCGTTACGTGCTCTCCGCGAATGCACCAGATGCAAGCTGACTCATTTACTTGTTGGTTTATTTAGACGGGCCAACACCTGGGATGAGTCTTGGCGGTGACCTGAAAATTCCTTGGCTTCTCCAATATTTGATACCATTCCTAAAAGCATCGGATCTTTTGCCGCGCGTGGATCAGAGTTCCATCATGGTGGAGGATGGCTCGGGGATTACTCAACGCGGGATCGAAGGACGTATGGATCCATTCCCGGTTGATTACGCTTGAATATAGGTAACTTACATCCAGAGGTGAATAGAGGATAAGGAGCATTGCGCTACATACGCATCAGCTTTGTCAAGATTTCCGGTTCACTAACCAGAGTGAAGATAGATATTACCAATAGTGCCAAGAGAACACCGCAGAAAATTCGAAAACTAATTTTATCGATATTCAAGTATCATTAGCAGTCAGAAGGTTAGCCTGGTGGAGGGGATGTAGAGCGTTCAATAGTAGCGCAATAGTAGCGGGTTTAGGCTTTGAGACGATAATGAGGAGGTTTTTTGTTATATATAAGTTCACTGTAAATTATAAATAAATTCAATTAATTCTTCATCTTCGCTCTTTTATATTCTTCTTTTTATGAAGTATATAAAGATATATCTAGTTTATTCATAAGTAGTAACTCGTCATTCCTTGCGCAGATTGGGAAGCAGATAGTTGAAGAATTTGTCTAAGGTGATCCATGTGAAGCGCTTGCTCTCTTCTGATTGCCAGCATCTTTGCCAGTTTGACTGTATTCTTGATTTGTCTTCCATTTAGGGCGTGCGATGCAAGCTCATCAAAATCGATTTCTGTGCTGGTGCTCTCACCCGGTTGGAGAAAATTCCTCCATACACTGGCCCTGGAGCTTTTTGAAAGGTCTGGATAATGGACTGTCAAGTCAATTCTGGATTGGAAAGCAGGGTCCATAGTTTTAATCCTGTTGGTAGTCAAGAACATCATGCCATCGTAGTATTCCAACAGGCGAAGAAAGACTATGAACGTGTTAGGTTATTCACCGCATAGCAAGCACATGGAGGGTGTAGTAGCATCGACTTACTAGACACAAGTTCATTCCTCCGTAGATCGATAACATTCCGCTCTTGAAGGAACACGTCTGATTCATCTAGAAGCAGCACCGCATTCCACTCTTTGCAATAAACGAGAGCTTGCCGTAGCTGGCTTTCGACCCTGGTAGCCTCGCTTCCAAGCTCACCTGCGCTCACTGGATAGAGCGGAACACGCATCATGTTTGCGACTTCTTATTTAGCTAGGCATACCTCCATTGGAGCGTAGACAGACTCTCAACTTACTTGATTCAACCGTCATTGTTTTTCCAACCCCAGGGGGGCCAGAAAGAAGGATGATGACGCCCTTGCCTTGATATCATTAGGCCGATGCTTCGAAAATAAAGTGTGAAAGTGTGCGAAAAACCTTTGCCTCGGACCAAATCATCAAATTCGGTGGTCCCGGATAGCTTCGTCTGTGCAAAACCGAGAAGAAGATCCTTTTCCGTGCTGTTGAGCACCAACCCGGAGGATGAATCATCCCAGATGATATCCGATACATTATCCACAAACAATTTGTCTGTATTGCGGGTTTGGTCAGCCAGAATCCTGCCCTTGACTCAGCACAACTTACACCATTTCTTGGAGGTCAAGGAGTACCCCTTGATCAAAGGGCTACAAATAAGAACTTCTTGGTCGGTCTTTGGAAGAGAGTCAGCATCTGGAGGCTCACCGCGATCTCCCACCTTTCCATGCCATAGTGCAGCATCCAGGACAACGCGACCTGAGACCTAGAAAGCGAAATATAAGCAGGGCGGTTTAGAGTGTCATCACGATGCCTTCTTACCGCTTCCCATTCTACCTGAGGTCTTCCTAGCATGTCAGCCCGCCACTCCGACGATCCGAAGCCCAAGTATTCCCGGTAATGACAACCGAGAAGACCCAGAAACTTTCTCCCGCGGTCCAGCACTACTTTTGTGATATCTCCTGCATCCGGCTTTCTCAACAAGGGAACGGCAGCTAATCCGGTGATGGCACTTGTCCCAGTGAAGGCCGGGATGCGCACCACGCCTGATTCGGACGTCAACGTGAAGCCATCCCAGGCAGTTTGGTTGTATACTACAAAGAAAGCGCCAGTCACTGGATCTAAGTCTGTCCGCATTAGCTCGCCGATGGAGTGGTGTTGCTTGAGATCCGTCCAAACAAGCTGGTGAGGCGCGAAAATTGTCCACAGGTTCTGGTGCTCAATGATGTTGTGCGAATCTGCATTCTCCAAAGCCTCAAAGTAGGGCGCAAGTTCCTCCTTGAGTAATGCCACAAACCCCTCAACATGCTGCTTGGTGAAGTCATCGGACTGCTCTACAGCCTGGCAAAAGTCATCCCAATGATGAAACATTGGCTTGAACGGGCTGTCTAATTTCAAGTGGTCGACCACAGGAGAAACACCGGGGTAGTCTGATAGGATTTGTCGAAGGATTTTCATGATGTGAGGGCGTCGGACGATGACGGAGTGCATCTCCCAAGGATGATTGACTCCTTGTGAGATTTTGCGCACGACATATCCAGAGTCCTTGTTGATGAGGTCGGACTTGGGATCGTCTGGATGCGTGGGCTTTGCTTTCCAGCTCACACGCCCGTGTCCCAAATCATCGCCGTATAGGTACTGAACTTTGGCGGCGACTTCCTGGGTGTTTCCCGCAGGAGCTGGATCTTCGGCCTCGTCATCCACGGTGCCTTTGGCATTAGTTGCTGGTCGATCAGTGCCACCTTCACCCAGATAGGTCTTTGATTTTGGGGCCCATTCTTCACCCGGCGGTAGCATTTCATCAGGCGTTAATAGCCGTTCTGGAATGCTGGTTGGGGGCTTCCCGGGTCCTGGTGATGGTTGTTGGGAGGCCGGCATCATTTCATCCGCTGGCCTTCCCAAGGGCCTTCCAACGGGTCCTCCGAAAGGAGTGACGATACGGGCATTTTCTTGGGATTGATATTGCATTGCAACAGAACTCCAAGCTCTGAACGGCCAAGATGTATGTGAAAGTGAAGTTGTATATGACTGAGATTGATTTTATTGAATAAACAGCAACTTGGACTGCTGCTCTCCGCCGGCAACCTGACCTGTGGCATCCGCACACATATTAATACTACAAATAGCTGCACTTGTTAACGCCTTGCCACGTAATCATACTGCTGCATGGACGCCTTGCGACACGTCAAAATGCATCTTGCGCTCGTATTGTATATAGATCGCCAAGTTGGTGCCCAACTGGACGCGCTGCAGATAGGTCACACGCATTGCAACTGTATGTAATGTAACTTGCACGAGGTAAGATCTATTATCTCATGAGTCAAAATTCAAATCTGAAAGGGACCTGGTAGCTGTCCTTCTTTTCTCTTTTCTATTCTATGTTTTTATGAATTTTCCCCTATTTAATATAGTTCTCGAAATAGTGCTCTTAGATTATGGAGAGGAATTTCAGATCACCGGCACCAAGACTACCAGTGTGGCTAATCGTGTCCCATCGGCACCCGACAGCATCGACACTATATACACGAAGAGAACACTGAGTTGCGCGTCTCACCAAGTGACACAAGCGCTTAGGACGGGGAAACCCCAAGGACCGGCCGGGGCGCCCAACGTCCAACCTATGCAGTACTACCCGGAGCATTGCCACACGCGCCCAGCTGTTTCTGCGAGACAAAGATGCGGAATTTCTTCGAAACGAGAAATGCCGTGATTGCATGAACTCTCTCCGCTTTGACGTTAAACATGGCGAGGTTGAGCTGGTTCAGCTCGCTCTCGGGCATGGCGCAGATCCAGACATGCGAGACGCGGAGGATCAACACTGCATCTGGCAGCCCGGAGCACCTGTTCAACGAGCGGGATGGTGACAGAGCGTCTACTGAAGCACAAGACAGATCCGGACCTCCTCGCCGATGAGGAGATCAGAAAGACACACTGGGAGGCTTCACTGACGTTGCTCCCCTCTACCTCACCGCAGATAAAGCAAACGTGCACGTCGTAGAACAGCTCATGGAGGAAATAGTAAATTGTATTGTCACTATTAGCAGATAAGCCAGGGGCTGCGCCGCAATTACGGCAAAGTACCTGCCAGTTTGGGCTCGCCTGGGGCTTGAGCGCAGTGACTCAGAGCAGAAGATCTGAGTCAGAGCCCCAGATTGATGGTATAAGATGGCCCTGAATATCTTGATGACTTCAATTTCAGTTCACCTGATGTGTGTAAAACCCTTTGATCAGCTGCTGCCGCGAAATCAACATGCAAGCAAACATCCTGAAGCGTCTCTGGAAGGAGATTGACGATGTCAATGCCGATTTCTTCAATCTGCGAACTGTCATCTCTCCGGATCCCGAGGACGATATAACCCGATTTTCTTTCATCATGCTACCGAACGACGGCGCCATGGCGCATCTGACTCTGGTTGGAGCCATGTATATTCATGATACTTATCCGGTGTCACCGCCGGTGATCCATCTCTATACCAAGACTGAGCGTTATAATGTCGACGTTTTTCGAGGTCACTTGGAGAACAAGAATACAAGTAGCCTTTGTTTCAACATCTTGCGTCCCACGTCGAAGCGTGGTACCTGGACAAAGGACTGTACCATCTCGGCGCTCTTTGCTTCGCTAATGTCAGCCATTGTGTCTTTCTACGTCACCCAGGAATCCGGGCTTGACCGACCCGAGTATGTCTCGATGGAGATGCTTCGCAATGTGAAACTTTATGCGAGATCAAGCTACAACACCCATAAGGATCGCATGCCGGCCATTCCTCAAATTCCTCTAGTAGAGGCGACGATGGTCGAGGCCAAGAAATTGGACTTCCCGCCAGAGATCATCGCTGGGGAAACAGAGAGGGTGACGGCGGGCCCAATCTATCTCCAGACCGGGGAATCAGCCGCCCATTCGTTTGCGGTAGACCTTTCTAGGCTGCATGAAGGTATCATCTTCTCCGTGGTCTTGTCCAACTCCGAAACCGACCTGCTTGGGAAGAAATCGGATACGGTGCTGGTCCGAAACGGCGTGACGGCATCAGCGGCCCGGAAGCGAGCGGGCGAAAAAACCCGATGGTTTTACCACGGGAAGCCCATGAACGATGGAGATATGCGACTGCACGTCACTATCGGGGCAGATCAGATGACGCTCGTCTATAATTCCAATGGGCGCCGCTACGTTCATGGCGATTGCCCCTTGTCACGGTTGACGCCTCTCGAGATCGGCGATGTCCGTGGAGTTCCGTTCTACGTACACGTATACACCAAAAAGAAGAGTGGACGACCGGCAAAAATCACCTTACTAGACACCGACGGGAAAGGTTACTTGCATCAGGATCCGGAGGAGAAGGACAAAGATAATCTAGGCTTCGAAATTATTGATTATCCAAGCGAGTCTGAGGTGGTATCGCGGCAAAGTCCGGATGGTAGTCATGTTGTCGAGGCCGAGCAGGAGTTGTGGGAGGAGTTGGATGCCCTCAAAATCTAATTTGGCGAGCCTGGACAATAACCACTATCGCTAGCTTAGCTTTCCTTAATTGCGACTGCGACTATTAAGATAGATAATACTAATGGAATTTGATGAGGAGCAGATCAAAGCTGTGATATAACACAACTCCCCTGGCATCGATGCACTGCTTAGCAGCCTATCTTAGAAGTCTAAGATTACTGTGCGCTGCACTACCATGGGACAAACTAGCCAATCGCACATGTTTGTTTTACCAAAAGTTTAGAGTCACATGCAGCTCGTCCAGTTAACACTGCACTGGATTGGTTGTTGATATACCAGGTTCCAAATGATGTTCGCTGCCCAGCGAATTATTACTCTGACTCTTTAGATACATAGTCGTCACCAACTGATGAAAATAGCTAAAAGAGGCAGTTATCAAAGAAAAGCAGGATTGCATACAATAGATAATTTCAGATCTATTTAGGATATTTACTCGTGTTTGTTTATCTGACTAACTTGGGATAAGAAATATAACGCTCGACAAAATCCAACAAAAATAAATGCAGCTTGTTCGAGCTCCAGATTAAGAGCAAGTTCTCTTGGCATTGGTCCAGCCGGTCAGCCGGTTGGCAACATCACAAGAGTAGCACTTCCTAGCCGTAAAGGGGTTGTTGAGGTTGTTGTAATCGACTGAACCGCTGTTGTACTTGCGAGCAGCGGCAAAGGTGGCCCTGTATGGCGCGTTGGTAATAACCTTCTTGACCTTGCTTAGGCATTGCTTGAGTCCGTCGCCTGACTTGGTACCGGAGGTGCCATCTCGGATCATTTGCAGAATCTGCTTGTTCGGGCAAGGGTTCTTGCCAGCACACGTACCAGAGCCGTTGTGAGACTGCATGAGACCAGGGTTTCTGACCCCATTTGCTGTAGTTGGTGCTCGAACACAACCGCCAGTTTCTTGCATGATGATGGCTAGAATGAACCGCGACTCAACGCCAGACTCCTTAGCGACCTGCTTGATGGCAGTCTTGATGTAGTTGATCTCGTTGTTATTGTTGTTGGCACCCCAGCCATTCCAACCACACGACTGGCGCATTAGGGGGAGGTTAGCACTCCAAAGCTGGTCAAAGCTACCCCACGCTGCCATCTTCGGCCAGTTCTTTCCGTTTCCTTTCCAAAACTTGTACTGATCGTGGATGGTAGCCATGATAGTAACATCATCTGTCGATTCAGTCTCGTTGTCAGGCCCGGTGGGGAGAATATCTCCAAAGTCTGGTCTAGTAGGCATTCCATCTGTCCACAGAGGTCGAAGAGCAGCCTCGGGGCTAGAAGGGGCCTCTGTCTCCGTCCCCGTAGCCTGCAGCTGGGGAGCAGGGACGGCGACGGCAAAAGCCGCCAAAAGAGCCACGCTTTGAACAAATTTTAGAAGCATGTTAAATGAGAGTCTACCAGTGAGAGTTGAGGAGGTGAGTCAAGTGAGAGTCTATGGCTGTTTGCTAGGATGGTTTGGTTTTCTAAATTCTGGTCGTCCGATTACCTTCTTATAGTTTTTTGACTCATTTTACTATCAGCACTCTGAGGAAGAACAATAATAACTCCCGTCAAGCTTGGAGTGGCAATTTCTATGAAATCGGCCCATTCTAGTTTCACTCTTGAATTTCAGGTCAGGAAGCCGACTTTGGGAGCAAATATTTACCTAAAGTTCTTCCACAATTGAGCCCGAGAAGGCCTAGAACTTATTTCCTGATCACCTGTCAGGCGGTAAATGGGTTCAAAATTACTTGTTTGGGGCATAGCAACACTGGGTGAGACATGACACCTTCCCAATGGCTATGAATTCGCCCCAAGATGGCTTAATAGCTCTCATTGCAGGCACCGCCGAGAGACTTTTGCCCATTCTAGAGACAGGGGAAATGGCCTTTGTGAGAAGGGAGTACGCTTAAATGCGAGAAGGCTGTCGGGTACTTTTTGCCTCTTCTCGATATTGAGCAGGTCATTGATGGGGACTTTGGTAGTTTCGGAGTTTTTTTGCCACCGCGGTCCGGCAGCCAAGCAATACGTGCTATATTTGATTTAGACCATAAGGATTTTTTTTCTAAACAAGACTGGCAATTCTATCTGATTCTTACGTTTGCTTTTCATCCTGAGTTACTTGGGTTAAAATTCTAGAGAGACATGCCACATGGTCATCAACGCTACCTCCTCTGTACAAAATGGAAGTCTGGGTTTCATCTGATGTTGTATGGAGGCCTGCAGCCTCACTCGAGGTGGCGGATACTACTAAGACTGCATGAATACTTCTAAAAATATGATCCCCGCCATAATACTACCCGTACAAGTAGGTGGGATCTAGGTAGCTGATATATTGATATGATCATGTTCACCAGACATTGTTAATTGCAGTTTAATTTATTGCAAAGCAAGATAAAGTACTCTAAACATGAATCGTAGTAGCCTCCGCTAAAAAGATTATTGGTCTCTCAATAATTACCGACGTCATTTGCGGGTAAGTAATCATCGCCGGCTCGGGGAGTGGATCAAAGGGGCCGGAACTCGCTTGAGCAAGAAATATTGCGCGTGCTCATTATACCACCAACACAGCCCACAAAGAACCCCCGCCAGGCTAAAGAAAGCTCAGGGACTGCCCTTAAGGTCTTGCTATTCCCCTGGGTGTCTAGAAAAAGGATCTATCCTATTTGCACTCGCGAAGTCGGAACTAGCACATCAACACTCTATCATATCCTAGGTGCTTTCGGAAGACTCCCAAAATATGGCGGCTGACTCTCGAAACGTGGTGCAGCTCATTGCTGACGACTTGGGCTTGATGCTCGGCTGCTATGGCTTAACTTCCATCCAGACCCCCAATATCGACAAACTTGCTTTTCAAGGTACCAAGTTCACCAGTGCATTTGCTAGTACCGCATCTTGTAGTGGCAGCCGATCAACCATCTATACGGGGCTTCATACGCACCAAAACGGTCAGTATGGCTTGAACCATGGGTGGAACCATTTTCAAACACATGACCACATCGAGACCGCCCCCCAGATATTCAATTCTCTGGGATACCTGACGGGAATCATTGGCAAGGTCCATGTCGGGCCTCGTAGCGTCTACCCCTGGGAGTGGTACGCGCCGGGCGAAACCCGCGATGTTAGGGAAGTCGCTCGCCAGACGGGAGATTTTCTTGATGCAGCCAAAAATTCCAACCGTTCATTCCATTTGACTGTGGGATTTCGAGACCCCCACAGAGACTCGACCAGAGGAGGGTTCGGGAATCAAGATGATGACATTCGAGATCTTTCACTCCCAGACTACAAGCCGGAGGATATGGAGATTCCGCCTTTTCTCAGCGATATCCCTGAGCTGAGGACTGAACTCGTGGAATATTACAAGGCAATAACCCGGATGGACATTGGTGTCGGCTTGATAATGGGTGAATTGGAAAAGCGAGGCCTGCATCATAACACACTCGTCATCTTTATTAGTGACAACGGTTCGCCGTTTGTGAATTCCAAGACGACCCTCTACGATGCTGGAGTCCGTCTACCGCTCATTGTTCGCTGTCCAAGAGAGGAAAATGAGACCAGCGCCGTCAATCCAAACATGGTTTCATTCCTGGATATTGTTCCCACCTGCATCGACTGGGCAGGCCAAACTGATGCGGACATTGCGACAAGCAATACAGGTACATCTCCTCAAAGATTGGGCAAATCCTTCCTCCCAATTCTACGCGCAACCAATGTGTTACCGGATGAGGAATGGACCCAGCATGTTTTCGGCTCGCACACATTTCACGAGATCCAAAACTATTGGCCCACAAGGTTTATGCGTACAAAGAGATTCAAGTATCATCGCAACATCGCATGGAAGCTGGATTTCCCGTTTGGTACTGACATTTATGGAAGCCTGAGTTGGGAGGGCATTCGAAACAGCGCCCCAGTACCTGACGATGAATCCGATACCCCAGAGGTGATGATCGGGAGACGTCGACTAGGGAGCTACCTTTACCGCGGCCCCGAAGAGCTATTTGACCTAGAGGTGGACCCTGAAGAAATTAATAACCTAGCAAACAAACCGGAGTATCAAGCTCAGTTGTTACTTATGCGGAGGCAGACAGAGGAATGGCAATACCTCACCGACGATGTGTGGCTCTTCAAGGATGGGGTCAGCGCCATAGTAAGTCAAGGATATCAAAGCCAAGGATTGAAGTTGCCTGATAGATTTGATTTTGATATCAAGAGGCCTGGAAATCGGGACGGTAGCCACTGGGCACCTGCCGAAGCAAAGACGGCTTCGGAGGGGACTACGAAGATGGGCTAGTTTCCATAGAGCTGCAACATCCGTTGTGAACTCGGTACATTAATCCTCAGTAATCTGATGTTTCCAAATCGGAACGGGAAATTTCCATTGGGCGTCAAAATGTGTCTTTTACGTTCATCTATCTAGGACCTTTCTTTAACTGACTGGGCTATATCTAAGAAGGCCATTGTCATACACCCATAAGCACATGAGCATGTGATATTTTCCCTCTCCAAGTTCCCATTCTATCCAAATAGCTATTGATGTGACTAACTCAGTTTGTTGTGGTCGAGAACTCGTTATGTGGACACAGAATGAGCCCGAGACATCTGGTCTGGAGACACGGATCTCGGTCGAGTCATGCTCTAGCTCTGGAGTCTGCCTCCAGCAACACGGAAAGACCGACCGGAACTCGCTAATTGACGACGAGACTTTCACTTTCCCCAAGAGAAGCCATGTGGGGAAGGAAGATAGATTCGCTAGTCACACTTCTTCACCAGCATAAACGTACATTAGCGCGTTCAATGTACATTGATGGAGCAGCCCCCCAACTCGCCCGAGTACGAGATCCGGCTGTGGTTGCAAGGGGCTTTTCCTTCTCCAAGGTAGACTGGACCCACGTGGAGCAAGCCCCATGGGGATAATCTAGTCCCTTTCGTCCTCAATCTTGCAATATTTTCCCATTAACCTCGCCTTGAGGATCTTTCTACAAGAAGGAAGGATCCCCTGGCTTCGAAAACCGACTTTTTTGCAGCATCATTCGATATTTCGTGCTTCTGGCATTCCCACTCACTCCAAGAGTCCTCACTTTGGTATCTAACAGAATTCCAAGCCTTGCTCTTCTTGTGTTCAGCATGGGGTTCATGAGCGGCAAAACACGATTCTTCAATCGTCGTCTAGCGATTGCCGTGTCCCTCATTGCCCTTTCTTCATTCAACTATGGTTTCGATAACCAGGCCTTTGCTACTACCCAGGCAATGGATGCATTCGACAAGCGATTCGGAGAATACGACCCCGTAAAGAAGATATACTACCTCCCCTCGACTTGGCTGGCTCTTTTCAACTCGCTCAACTATATCGGTTTTGCCGCCGGCGTCATCATTGGGTCATTTGTCTCGGCTCGATGGGGCCGTCGGATGTGCATGTTCATAATGAGCATCTACGCCATTGGAACCGCGACTATCGCCGTTACGAGTACCAACAAGCATCACGTTATGGCGGCCCGTGTCCTCAATTACATATACGTTGGGATGGAGCTGGCAGTGGTGCCTGCCTATCAATCAGAGATTGTCCCCGCCCCGGTCCGAGGTTTCGTCGTGGGCACATACCAGCTTGCTCTGATCTTGGGTGGCCTGGTAATCAACTGTGTTTGCCTTGGGACCAGCACACTTTCCGGAGATGAGTCATGGAGGATTCCTCTTGGCCTCTTCTATATCATTCCTGTCATCATTTCGACATGCATATGGTTCCTGCCCGAGTCTCCTCGTTGGCTGCTCTCGAAGGGTAGAGTGGAAGAGGCGCGTGCCAGTCTAGCCCAGTATCGAAGCGGCTCCTTCACTGAGGAGGAAATCGACAAGGAGTTTCAGGAAACACAATTTCAGCTCGAAGTGGCAAGCGAGAAGGGGCGATTCCTCGACATTTTTGCGTCTAAAAACTTAAAGCGTACACTCCTTGTTGTTGGTATCAACTTCTTCCAGCAGGCAACTGGCCAGCAATTTGCCAGCCAATACGGAGGGATTTATGTGAAGCAGCTTGGGACTATCAACCCTTTTGTCTTCACTCTCTTGGTTGCGGTCGTCAATGCCACCGCCATTGCGATTTCTCTCTTGACAAATGATAGGATCGGACGTCGCAAGCCTCTTTTGCTGAGCGCGACGATAATGTGCACTGCTTTGATGATCATGGGCGGCCTGGGGACGCAGGCTGTAATTTCCACGTCTACAAAGATTGCCATTGTCAGCATGCTTTGTTTCATGACGTTTGGATTCTCACTTGGTCTGGCCCCGCTCACATATGTTGTTGCGACCGAGATTCCTGCTCTTGGACTTCGAGATGCGACTCTCCGGCTCGGATTTTGCGTCAATGTCCTTTTCAAGTAAGTACTGCTACAAACTATCCAACTAGATATGTCTTGCTAACTCTCTGCGATGAAGCTTCGTGTCAAACTTCATCTTGCCATATCTTCTAGCTGCCCTCGGCTCTAAAACAGGATTCGTGTTTGGGTCAGTCGCATTCCTAGGGATTCTTTTTATCTACTTTTGTGTTCCAGAGTGTAAGGGCAAAACATTGGAACAGGTTGACCGGATGTTCCAGGAGGGAGTACCGCTGCGGAAGTTTGGTAGTTTTGAGACTGAAGACCTCGGCGGCACTACGCAGAAGAATGATGATGATGCTGTAGTAGCGCAAATCGAAGTCGGAGGGGAGAAGAGGTAGCTTCCAATGTGAAAGCATAGCACCAAAATAAGTCGTTGTCATGTTCAGCGAGAAGCTGTTGGTAGTATCGCTATCTATCCATTCAGGGTCAAGCGACCGTTTTCTGATAGTTCACCTATTAATTCAGGAAGTTTATTCTTCATATTGACCTGTAAGAGATGAAGCTAGAAGACACACCCAGGCAGCACAGAGTGTATTGATTCGTGTTAAATATTCACTGGCAAAACAGATACCTAAGATAATACATAACGATTTTTTCTTTTTCTTTTCCAGCTCTTTCAAAACCTTGGTCTTATTGAGATAATTTCGTAACGTGCCAACTATCTAGCACTATTATCTTGGTGCTATTCGAAGGCTGGTGTCATGGACGGTAAGTAGTTCTACAATACATTCGTATGGAGGTTGTTGAATTGTTCCAACAAAGAAAATTGCCGAACGATTCACACACAACTAACACAATGCGCTATCGAAACGCGGGAACTTACCATTGTGCTCACTGCCAACCAAAGTCTAGAAGGACTCAACAAGTGACCAGTAGGCATTTCAGCACTGACTTCAGCTCTCTGAACGTTGGTTTTATTGAGATGATAACACTATGGGCCAATAATTATCCCTACATCCGTGTTTGCAGCCCAAGTATGTCGAATTCCGGCCCATAGTTGTCTGCGAAGTGTCCTACAAACGGATCCCAGGGCACCAGGCCGGGATACAATGTCCCACGTTCCAACTCAAATTCATTGAATGAAGATCCCATATTGGCTGTAGTTTCATCCATGAAATCCTCATCGTGTTGCGATCCAGTGATCGGGGCGTCCTCTCTCAACATCAGTGCGTGGCTTTCCCTTATGATGCCATCACTACCCCATGGTTGCATTGATAATTCTTGTTCATTGACCAACCCAGAATCTTGATGGGGAGGGTCGCTCCCTTCATCTGATTCAGACTCCCGCGGTATTACAGATCCCTTTGAGATCATGTGGTACTTGTCCTTCTGAGACTCCTTTTGCCCATGAAGAGAAGGGTTCGTCGGATGTGCTAGCCCCAATATATTGATGACCCTCCTAATTTCGCGAAGGCACTCTTTCATTCTAGGAAACCTTCCTCGCAGCTCTGGATATACCACGGCTAGCGCCGCCTCAAGCTTCCCCCTGATTTCCTTGATGTCCCCAAAAGGATTATTTGGCTGAAGGAGATGCTGAAGGTTGTCAATAATTTGAGAAGCCTGGTACAATGACACTACAAAATATATGTCTTTTTCTGGTTCATTCTCGCGATGCTTGAAGAACTCTGACCATAGATCGAAAAGCTGGACAATTCGAGTAAGGACATTATGCTGGCAATATGACACATATTCGCCGGGCGTGTTACTTATAATGTCTTGTGAAACGGACTCGCGGATTCCTGGAACCAGAAATCTGTATAGATCAATGTAGCACTGTAGCCAGACTGTTTGAAGGCGAATGTAGCCCGAAGCATCTCGAGATTGGGCCATAAGGGATATCCTGCTCGGGTTGAGCCGAATGTCTGCGGGGAGTGACTCCCCAAAAGTTGTCAGCTCTTTCTCCAGTGCAGAGAGCTCACTCTTGCTTTGCGAGGGACACGCTCCTTCTCGACAGATCCTCTTGGTATATCTGTTCGTTGTTAGTTCCCTTCTATTGCAAGTCAAAATTTAAGTTTCTGGCTTACCTCAATATTCGATCACGAGTTGCATAAACCCGAAGAATATATGAATATAGATCCATGTCGGAGTGATCTGAGTTTTCCGACTCCTTGTGAAACAGATATTGCGCTCGAGACGGCATACCGCGCTCGAAACTTCGATCCTCAGAAGGAAGGCGGAGATGAAGCATTCTACTGACTGGACAGACTTCTAGGTCTTCCAGGCCACCAGAGAAAATGCGATCGAAAAGGTAAACGTGCCACATCAATCTTCTTCCAGACTCTTGGGCGATCGGATTGAGTGTGCTACGCTCGTGGTTCAGTTTCAGTGTAAATGCCAGCCTAGCCGCTACCGCGAGAAGATTCCACGCCTCAACCGTGTCACCATTCTCGTAGTGATAGTGGATGATGAGAACAAGTGCCTGAAGTCGTGAAAGTGACAGGGTTCCAAGAACCGACAAAACTACTGCCTGTGCATCGCGGAACCAAGATGCAATCCGTTCACGATCTCCAGCTCTGCAGTTCCCTCCACCAAGGCTCGTGGCGCACAAGGTTTTGACGAGTACGGGGTCAAGTCCACCTCTTTTCCATTCAGCCATGATTGTTGGGGCATGTAGGAAGATGCATTTCGTCGCATCTTTTGAGTCGAAGAACGCTTGCAGGAGAACCTTCTCTTCTTCATCTCGAACTGGGGGTTGAATAGGAGGGTCTATTAGGGAGCGTGTATCGTGTATCGTCGGTACACTCGTAACAGGGGTGGGAATGCCGCTCTCCGTATTTATACCTGGCCGGTCATCAAAAAGCTGACCAGATGGCTGGCTTCGTGGATTATTTTCAGTTTGCATGCGAGGAACGCACTCAATGTTCCGAGAAGTGCACCGGGAACAAGGGGTCTCTCCAGAGCATTTCGCTTTGACAGCACGGCATGGGACACACGCGCAGCGAATCCGACGCCTCTTGATCCCAGCTTCTGTAAGTTGTGCAGCATCGGCGGGCGGATCTTGATCTGCTTCATCCACAGACCCTCGGTAGGAACAGGGCAGGGAAAGGCGGGAGCAAGGACCACAGCAGGTGCCGAGGCGATCGCATTTCACTTTCCTGGCCCGGCATTGTTGACAGGAATACCGGGCATCCGAGGATGTGTTTCGCAGCCGGATCTCGTCCGCAGCGGACATGATTCGGCTCTGAGCTGAAGCAATGAAACTCGAAAGAATGGAGACAGCGAGCGTGGCATCGGCTCGCCGGAGGGATGTCGCTCATATGTGCACTTTTCTCCCGCTCGGCAGCGACATCCGAATCACATTGTGCTTTCTGATTGGGTCCATTTAGTACGAGATCCGGGCTTCGTCTGCGAGCCGATGCCAGTGTCCCACATTTTCCATGTCTACTACGAATCTAGCGACCAGACGCTGGGGGCAAATGGAAGTGCATGGGGATCATAGTCTACTACATATCGCTTCCATTTCCATCTTGTGGAATTTAGATTCGGCAGCGTCGAGCCACTGGTCATGTCCATCATTCCTCTAACTAATGCCTACGGCATGACCAACTCCATCACTTCACACAGTCTAATAACAAGCAGAGAGAAGGGAGGTAGGAGGGATTAGGGATAATAGAAGATATCTTTAATAGTAATGCTTCTCAATCCCTCAAAATACAGTAAAAATGTCCCGCCTGCGACGGAAGTAACAGAGGAGAATGAGGCTAGGCAGAGCATTTGGACGAACGTGGATTGCTACGGCCCAGAAGTTTCTGAATACAAGGACGAACTCTTATAGGACAATACTCTGCGGCATTACATTGCAAAGTTTCTAGGGGAAGAGTAGGGCTAAGCTCTATTCCCCGAGCGCATTATTAATCTTCGGGATCTACATGTGCTCTAAGTCAGAGTAAACAGTTAGGACTAGACTTCTATATGGATACCAAATACTCCATAACATGCTAAATCACTGTGAAGATTAAGAGAGGTTTTTAATTGGCAGTTCCAAAGATCAAGCAGATATCAAATCAAACAGCTCCAAATTACGTGTCCCTTGCGAACCGACTTGCACCTGGCCGTTCCAGTCGAAGTGCCAACCGTGAAAGTATTGGTTCCGTTGCTCACAGCCACACACTGCAACGGCTGACTCTGACGGACAGGGCTTGCGCATTGGAGAGGAAAATACGCGCCTGCAACGATGGTTGTTACTGATTGAACACCATTTTCCTGCGTATTACCAACAAGATATTGGTTGGTGTCATAAACCCTGGGATAGTTGAGGGCGCCGAGACACAATTGACCCGGGGAATAATTACCGGCCTGTGAGGCAGGAGGATTGAAATAGACGATGGAACCGGATTTGGCCTACGCAACCTTACCATTGACTACGAGATTGCCGTTGTTGGTGATCGGCATGTCTCAATCTCTACCTTGGAGCGCGAACTAGAACACAACAGGCCCCAAGGCGGTAGTTGTTGAAGTAGGGGCACTAGTTGAAGTAGACTCGATCACTGAAGCAGACTCAATCGTCGAATCAGGGGTACTTTTCGAGAGATTAATGGAGCTGGAGGCCCTTTACGTGGAGGTCGAGGGAGTTGCGATGCCGGGCAATGCGCTTGTAATTATCAAAGCTGGTGTCATTGATGGGGACACAACCGCTGAAGAAGGCGTGCTGCTGGAAACGGATACGCCAGAGGAGTCAAATGCACTCGTGGGACAATTCAAGACGGGCGTATCGCTCAAACTTAGCACTTCTTCCTGGCTGCGCCCAAATGGAAAGCAAGGCGCTGGCGACGAAGCCTTGGAGAAGGTGTTGGGCGTGCATGGCAATAGTGAAGACATATGAAGGTCGAGGGGATGAAGGAACAATAGCGCGTAAGAAGAATATCAGGAGTAGAGAAAGGAGAGGAAGACGAGAGAAAGTAAATAAAACGGCAGACATGAAATTCCAGGAACACGGCACGCGCATGATCAACTACCAGTGGAACTATTGGAAGACTTATGCAGCATAGCCAGGATCTGAGCGGCAATCATCATCATCCCTGCCCTGAGACAGGGGCATCGTGGCTGATATGACTAGTCATGCAGATCGGACTAACCTGGTAATCATCGAAAAGATTGATGAATTCAAGTCTCCGGACACCATACCTGCATTTTTCGGTCAACTGTATCTAGCTATTTTATATCAGTATTCGAACTAGTGCGAAGCTATCTTTAGTAACTTACTTTACATGTAAGCCGTCTACAAATATAAATATCTCTAGGCTTGGGGAGAAGGGTCCAAAAAGACAGGTCGCTACACCATCAGTTTCACACAAGAGTACCATCGCACATCAGGTTTCCTCGAAGAAAAGAAACCATAGGGGCTCTCCAAGATTGTGAGTAGCTTTATATATTGGTGAGAGATGGAAAGTTAGAAGTGAACTAAGGATCTTAATAATTTTAATTTAGCGAGGACTACGATCCTTGCCGCTTTTCCTCATTGTAGAAAATTACTTTTCAGTGTTCCACCAAGTCGCTCTACTAATACAAAAAGGACAGCAATCAAAACCCAAAATAATGACAGTGGGTCAGTGATCATATGCCAAAATCTCCTAGATTCAGTCACTGCCTATCTGCGTACTAAGCAGTGCTGCGAAGCCCTCTCCAACAGTCTGATCCACATGCAGCACCGCTACTTACATCAACTACCATCATAGGAGACAAGCGGAGCATTCCACCCGAGACATTGAATTCTCCTGTGCATGTAAGCTGACAGGGATATTCGGGCTCTCCGTCGCACTTTTGCAAACAAAACCCAACGCTGTAATCTCTGTGTGCGTATTGGCTTGGGCGCAGACGTTATCTGTCTGTTTGGAGAAGCCAAGCCCAGCTGAAAAGGGCTGTGCGATGTGTTGGTTTTGGATACCACCGTGGGTCATCAGAGAGTCTCGGCTAAGCTATGAGAATTGATTGGTTGTGTAACCCCCAATTGGCTCTAGCTTATGTGATCTGCAGCATTAAGGCAAGCTGAATGTCCAAGATAGGCCTCCAAGCTGTTGAAGTATTGAATAGATACTTTACCCTAAGGAGCAGTCGGAGCCAATTCACAACCCTGTCAGTGGAGGTGAGTCGCCACATTGGTCATGACTACCGATGTTCGAGATGCTCTTCTGCCGCGTTCTTGGCTGCCAAACGTGGGATATCTTCAACATGTTCCACAGTCCCCACCAATAGCCTCTTTTATATCCATGCTGCTCTCATCTATACAGCAAAATGTAGGAACCAATCCAAGTATATAAGATGCACTGATTCTCTCCTTCAATATCGTGTTGTTCGCTCAACTTCATCCTATCCAGTCTACAACGATTTCTTCTTCATAAACCTGCTTTCTTCTCCCCAACAATGGATTATCAGCCAACTTGGAGTGGCTGTGCGTTGGACAAGGTGTGCTCTCACATACACCCACTGAATGAATCGCTTCCAGATAAATTCAGACCGGATACCCCAACCCAGTCCTGGAGCCAAGACTATCGGGAACCCAAGACTGGATATGTATCCTCTTCCTTCTCCAACAGCTACAAAGAGGCACGACGGTTGGCAGGCGACGGTAGCCTAAAGACTTTGATTCAGCTAAGAGATGTCTCTTCAGCATTTATCAAGACACTATCCAACTCTGTTGGGGCTCCAGAACCTTCCTCAAACAATAGCCTAACCAAACTCCACTTATCGGATGACCTTAAACGTTGGAAGCGCGAGCAACATCAATTAGGTAGGATCCTGCCTGCCAAGGGAACAGGCCTCAAGCGGGCTTCCGATGAGGTCCTCGAGATTCTCGGCGCTTCCAAGTGGCCAGAACCACTCGTCACGAGGAGTGCTCTCTGGGGCAGTGTCTTCTTCAACATGTGCATAGGCGCTTATGATGCCCCGTCAATGTTCTCAAACGCAGTTACCGACATGGCATTCTTTCGCGAGCATGGCTACCACCATGTATTCCCAGAGTTTGACAGCCTGTTCAACAGCGCCATGTATGATCAACATGCTCTCCAAACACCTGGAGGTACAGAACGCCGAGCAGCAGTCGCCATTGGCGTGGAGTACATCAACGACAAGATCGTGTTTGAGGAGGAGAACCAAGCCAATCTGGAGGGGCTCTCCGCCAAGATGAACCGACAAACAATGCAGACTCTTTCGCTATTCGAGAGCAGTCTCCTCGGCTTGGTCAGCGAGTCTGTTTTTCGTGGGTGCGAGCCTGCAGCAGTCATGAATGACATGGTCCTATCCTGCCCAGCCACCGACGTCGTCGACGTGGGCTCTGATCTTGTCAACTCCGAGGTCATGAACTCTTTCCTGAACACCGCCGACATTTACGAGACCGGCATCGTGACTGAGGAAGCGCTGAGGCGTGTGTACAATGCATATGCACACGCCGGCGCCCGGACCTTGGCTGAGAGATGGTGGGAGCCAACTGCCCGCATGCTGGCGCTCTTGTATCAGTGGCATATCGTGAACCACAGACACAACTTCTTGCGCCGCGCTGTTTTGGGGTACTGCAAGGTACAGCACGGGCTGCCTGACCAACGCGAAGCAGACATGGACGAAGCATTTGACGAGAATCTTCACACAACTGGCTTCAGCCGTCCCTTGAAGTACGCCTGCAACGGGGCAGACACGTGCGACACGGTCTCACATTTCCTTGAACACAGCAAGAACCCATCCCTGATTCGTCACCTGTGGCAATGCTTAGTATCTGATCCCCTAGAGTACGTGAGGAAGGGGGAGGTTGATGGTGTTCGTGAAGCCGAGTTGGAAGAGGCCCTGCAGCTTGCCCTGGCCAAGACCTACACAGAAGGCTTCGCTTTGGAGCTCTGCTGGATCATGGCACATGCGGGACACCACGCTTGGCAGATTAATCGGATGTACGAAGCAGCCATGTTTGGCAGCCTCCTTGACAGCGAGGCCCTGGCGGGCAAATTAGATAGAGCAGAGGCCTAGACATTGTTTATTCTTTCCTATTCTCCGTAGAAATTTCTCATTTCCCAATTAGAGTCAATACAGATATGTTAGTCGTCGCGCTCCTGATAAACTTCGTGTTATAAACGAGAATATGTATTTATAGGGGTATTATGGGTTTCAGCTGACGCGACTGAGGATTGGAGCGATGAGATATATGCCGTCCCTCTCTTGTGGAATGTTTGTGGGTCATTCATGTTTGGCTTGATCATAACCCGAGACAGTGGCATGAACTTGTGGCGAAGAATCGGTAGATTTGAGGGGAAAAGTCGTTCAATGGATTTGGCTTGGATGGATGCCGTACCAAGGCAGGAGATTCGGATTGTGTGATGTAGTCTTCACGACAGCGCGTCAGCAAGCACAAATAACAAAGACAATCAAACGGCAATGGCAACTAAACCATGTCTCAAAACAGTCGGATGATTTCTTTTTGCTTTTTCCCATCTATCATAGCTTACGAGTGACAGCTCTCTTTCTGATCAACCTCCCCAGTGTTATGCAAGTCAGTACTGTCAACAACCAAATGGAAGCATCATAAGTTGCTTCCAGTGTAATTAATAATGCGTTTTGTTGCTCATTGCTTGGGTATGTCTGAGTAAAGAGGATGTTTCTCATGTGAGACGGTTGATGGTTTCTCAATGAAACATGTGACTGTATCTCGCTACTTTCTTGAGCCGCTATTATAATCGTCTTCTCTCGCATTCGGCATGGCCTCGGAACTGAGTATATATTTATATAATACATTATAAATCATCTCTATAAACAGACAGATGTTGTTCTCAAACAGCATTGTACTTCTATGGTGAATGCTAAGGCTGGCTGGGGAGCTCAACAAAACGCCTTGGGACCGATAATTCAAACCTTTCACCGTCATTATTCAGCTCGGCGGGGTATTTAAGCATCGTCGATGATTGTGGCGAGTGAGTATATGCCGGCGAGAAATCCGTTTGGGAGTGATGGGGCAGTGTTGAGTGTGTCTTCTTTCGAAGTAGGAAGAAGACGAGTGCAGCGATAGCTGCGATCCCAGCTACTCCACCAACAACAGCCCCAGCAATAGCCCCGGCTGAGAGCGACTTGGTCTTGTCTTGGTCAGGCTCAGGCGATGTGTTATTACTCCCGGTCTCGGGTGAGGTGTTATTGCTTCCTGTTTCTTTCTCGGGAAACAAATCTTTAACTCCCTCTGAAAATACCACCTTGGCCAAGTTCCTATGTTTCATTCCTGTCAGCAAACCGATATGATCTTCAGTCCTATACTGAATAGATGAGAGGTTATAGAAACCTACCCTTCCTGATACCATTTGGTTATGATTTCAGGCGTCTCATATTGACCAGCGTCAGACGTGTATTTTGTCTTCCATTCCAACGCAGTCATATCAAAAATTCCCAGTCCTTGTGAATTCATATCAGGGCTTGTGTCGGTTCCTGAGAACTTGGCCCCGCCGACAACAACCATATTGCGATTGCCAGCGGCTACGCATCCCATCTCAATACGCGTCTGCTGGCTGGTTGCTCCTGTATTTACCCAATTGAAGCCGGGGAGTGACAAAATGTAGACATCGTTGTGTAAAGCTCCTTCGCTTTCACCCCCGTGAACGAAACTTGGTTGGTGTTAGCACAATTTGAACACCACGACAACACCCATCACATCAAGAGTCACAACTTACATTTCAGATGAGTTAGTTCCGGTGACCCCGACTGCGCAGTGACCGACACGCGCCGTGGGGGCCTGTCCTGTCGTATTCTGCTTGAACCACTTCAGAGTGACGGGGTCGAGGAAATGTACAGTCTCAAACGAGATCGGCTCGCTTCCTTGCGGCACCGACTGGCCTTGGCCGCCCAAGAGCATTATAATACCATTAGGGCCTACTCCGGGGAGGTATGTCGCAGTGGCATATGCAAGCGTCCCCTTGGAAGAAAAGGGGGCATCCGTGTGGTTTGCCCATCTCTTCGTGGTAAAGTTGAAGGACACAAAGCCAGGAACATTGAGCTTTGAAAGGCCGTCGTGAGTCTCCGGTGTGGCCTGGCCCCCAAACCAGAAGCCTGCATCTTTGGAGCTGGTATGCGCACCAGCTTCTGAGCGTATAATTGTATTGAAAGAGGGATCTGCCTCCTCGGTAGCCCACTCACCTCCTCCATTTTTGTTGGCGGTGAACTTCCAAAGCTTTAGGGGCGGAGGGTCGCTGAGGAAGAAATACCGCCCTCCCCATATATAGAATGCCCCGGCAGCATTATCGACGAACATGGCGTTGCCCCATAGGGATGGGATGTTATTCGAGCTCTTGTCGGTGCTCCGGAAAGATGCGTCCTGGGGAAGCCAAGAGGTGGATAGATCGAGCGAAAGCGTGTTGTTGACTTTTAAATGGCACAGTTAACGACGAAAATCGCAAAGCGGGACATGTGAATAATAATCACCTGGCCATGCTCCGCTGGTGCCTTTCTCGGAGATGATTCCGCCTTCCAGATATAGCTGGCTATTTATTACACCAACTGCAAACCCATTAGTGGCTGAGGAAAAGTGGACGTCGAAATTTGTAGAGAAAAGGCTCCCTATCGTGCCTTACCTCTGACATTCACTCGTCTTTCAAAATTGGCGGGTGAAGGAACGTCGCTGGCGAGGCATCGCGGCAGAAGCAGTGCTATCAGCAATATCGAAAGGCGTTGGTAGGCCATGATCGACGATGAACCAGGTGGGCTGAGAAAACCAAAATTGGCGCTGTTTGGCCCGTCCAACTCGGGTAGGCAAGATTTATACATATTGATGGTCTTTTTAGGGTTAAGAAAGTAAGGCAGACATCGAATGGGGGCCGGGCGTAAACGCAGGCACTCGCCTGAAACAACGATCCAAAGTGCCATCATCACATCATGCCCCATTCCACATGCAACGCAGGCAGGCAATGCAGGCAACATATTAACCAAACACTTCTTGCAAGCATTCTCTACGCACATGATCTTTTTATCAGTCGACTAAGCCTTTGGTTAGGTATATTTATTCGAAATCAGCCCGCAAACTCGGTAGGAGACCTTGGATATAATTATCAATGAAGCCAGAGACAGCCCGAATGTCAGATCTTGGCTGCATATGCATGTATTCAGCTCAAGGCTGTGAGCACCAAAGGCCCAAAAATCAATATAACCCCTGTTTGATAATGGGACTGCGACATATTTAGCAAAGACTTCGCTTTTGGACCAACCACTGCAGTGATTGCTACCACGCCACAACAAGAACGCCCCTTCAAGGGATTTTCAGCCCTAATTAACTCACTTGCAGATATAAGGAGCTTACTTACCAGTAGAACTAGGTTGAATAATCACTTCAACTCCGCCATTGGTCGCAGGTTCACTCTGTTGGAAGTTCCTCATCTGACAGCGTATCGCGTTAGTTATTTACCTTAGCAAGGATGGCATCAAAATGACTGTGTCCAGTCAGTCTTAGAGAGGAAAGAAAGTTATAATTCAAAAGGGTCTAATTGAATAACCTCTTGACGATAATAGAAGCACCAGCAAGCATCGAGCGCCGATACAAGGTACCAAGTGTAGGGTAGGCAGGACATGTGGCTCAAGATACCTAAGCACGGAGCAAATACATAGCCCCACCAAACGAGGGACCGAAATACTGCCCTGCGTCACCCCTCAACAAGCGACGTGCTTGCTAAAGCTACCTTAATAATTATATCTAATAAATCTTATTATCTAAATCTAATAGGCGGAAAACAATTCAATGGACGACCTATCATGATTACTACTACCTGCCTTAAGTCAAGACGTGCAAGGGGTACGCATAACAGAAAATACCTTACCTTGTGCTCCCCATAAAAACCTGGGCTCGGATCACTAAACAATCCGGGCGAGCCGCCTGCGCCACAGCACCTGCGCCTTACCTTTGTAATTTTAAGCCACACTTCTCTAGTAGATGTTAGTGCATCACCACCCCGCCATTCCCGTCCTTCAACCCCACCATCGTCATCAACACCGAACAAGCTACCAGGCGCTTGCTGCAGCAAAAGCGGCTCCTTACCCACCAACTTAACGTTGTCTGCTAGGTTCAGTTTTAGTTGCCTTTCAGTCTGAAGATCGCACTCTAAAAATCGCACCTGCAGACTCTCGCTGTGACCAAGCATCGAGCACCCCGCTCTCAACATATACAAACAATCTCCCATTGAGCTCTCCGAAGGTAGCTCAAACGCAGAAACGCGAGCAGAACCCCCCGAATCCTACCGACAATAGAAACCAGCGCATTCCGATAATGAACACAGGCCAAAGGAAGAAAGCACAGGGCGAATTACCGATGGACATTCAAGCGCCCCCTCCCCGGGCTACCAGCAAAGTCCGCGCTCTCAACGTCAAGTGGAGCTCTCACGACCTCGGAGATAGTGTTGACAGAAAGTACGAATTGGTTAGAAAGGCCTTTAAGGAAATGGGATTCACAGTGGAGGGTTTTCTAATTCGGCCCTCCGTTGACAGCGAGGGTGACTTAAAGCGCAAGCTCGGCACCTTTTTCGAGTCTGCGGACCAGTCAACGCTTTACATTGTCTACTATCATGGTCATGGCTACGTGCCTGTGGCCAGAGAACCGAAGGATTTGATTCTTTTTAGGTAAGCACTGCCTTGACAACGGCATCGTTTGTTTTCTCGTATACATTAGTTGACAATTCTTTAACTTCTAAGCCATAACGACGCAGATATAGACGACATTTGGGATTTTGGCGAAGAAATCGTTCAGAATCGGCTCGGGGATTTGGGCGACATCCTACAGTCATTGCCTGACCTCTCTGATAATACAGCCCTAAACACGTTGAATGAGCTCTCTGCAGAAATCTCGTCCTTGCAAGAAAGTCTAGCTAGAATCAGGTAAGGATCTTTCAACTGTACTTATGGTGGCGGGACACCTTTACTAAAGCATCCAAGGCCGAAACTTGAGCCAGATTTCGAGATCAGTTTCAACAGCATCCTGAGTACTGTTTTAGATGCCAAGGGTGATGTCCTTGTCATCCTAGATTGCTGTGATGCAGGCGCTGCCGCCAATGCTATTAGGCCGACGGATATCATTACGGGTGAGTATAATAAGCACGCCATATTTGCCTGCCGTGAAGGATCAACAGCTAATGGGGACATGACGTCGGCGTTGTGTAAAATGCTCATAGACCGTCGGGAGAGGGTCAAAACGACTTTGAAGGATGTTGAAAAGGCTTCGAACGACGTTAAATGGGCCGAAGAGGGCCTACGAAGGGCGGAGGATGAGTTGGCTTCGGCAAGGCTCAAATTGAGGAAGCCTAGACACGGAAATCAACCACAGAAGACGCTCGAGAAGATCAAGGATGCCAAGGACGCGATCGAGAAGGCGAAGACGGCAGCCGAGAAGGCGGGGGAGGCGCTGAGGGAGACCATTAAGACAGCTGGGAACATGCAAAAGGCTATTTCTGGAAGAGAGATCAAGGAAGGCCTTATTGAGGGGCTTAAAGAGGTTGAAGAAGTTCGATTTCGGTCGAGGACCTCGCAGAGGGGGATCCAAATTCCACTTACTCTCAAGGTTACCCATAAGGTGCAGCGGAAGAGGACTGGAGCGGGGTGTTGAGGATATTCTGATGTTGAGTTAGGGTACAGTTTTTAGGTATATTTACTTAAAGTGTCACTACATAGTGTTAATCCTCAAGGGGTTCTGGTACTACAAAGCTACGTTTGACATGATACAGGTTGGATTGTGGTTGTGGTAAGGACGTTGGAAATTGGAAAGCCCCGGCGAGAGCTCTGCTCGCTGCGCCATCGAAACTCGGCAGAGCCCAGCTCTTGCGACGGGTTGATCTGCAGGTCCCCGAAAAAGCGAAGGGCAAAAATAGACCGAGGCTGTTCAGCATCCACAGCCTGGCTTCAAGACGATTATGGCTGGGCGTCAGGCTCTTCGCAATGCAAGTGTCTCGCCTTGTGCCCCGCCCTGTGCCCCGTCTCCGCGATTAAAGCCTACCTACCTAGTACTCCGTAAGTGTGGCTGACTTAGTAACCAGACGTGGGTCTCTCTGTTTTCAGACATCAACATCTGCCAGGGTCCTTCCAACAGTCAACTTCGCACCGCCTGTGCACGTCCGCCGCAGCAATGGTCTTCACGATGCATTCCCACTCCGGGCAGTTCTGCCCGGGCCACGCCAAGGACCAGCTCGAGGACATCGTCAAGCACGCCATCTCCATCGGCTACACCACCATGGCCCTGACCGAGCACATGCCGCGCTACGAAGAGCAGGATCTCTACCCCGAAGAGGTCCGCCGCCTGTCCACCCGTCTGCCTGCTCAATCAACCCCCCAACTGACTCCAGGGCTGGTCCGCCTCCCGCAGAACAGGTCGACGATCCCAACGCCCTCGCCGTCCTCCCCCCGCGCCACGAGGCCTACCTCGTCGAGGCCCAGCGCCTCCAGGCCCTCTACGCCCCGCAGATCCACATCCTCATCGGCTTCGAGGGCGAGTTCATCCGCCCGGCCTTCACGGCCTACGTCCAGAACCTGACCAGCCCCGCCGCCATCGACTTCTTCATCGGCTCCGTCCACCACGTCCACGGCGTCCCCATCGACTTCGACCACACGTACTACGCCGCCGCCGTCGCCGCCGCGTCCCCGCCGACCGAGGAGCAGCTGTACGAGGACTACTACGACCTGCAGCACGAGATGCTCAGGTCGCTGCGGCCGCGCGTGGTGGGCCACTTCGACCTCATCCGCCTGATGAGCGAGCAGCCGGGGCGGGACGTCAGGAGCTGGCCGGGCGTCTGGGCCAAGATCGTGAGGAACCTGAAGCTGGCGAGGGAGGTTGGCGCGTGGCTGGAGTGTAACAGCTCCGCGCTGAGGAAGGGCCTGGACGAGCCGTACCCTTGCCGGGCGATCGCTGAGGTATGGCCCATCTTGTTTGGCGCACTTTCCAATTCCTGTTGTGATTGATGGGGGCTAATCGACGTTCGTGTAGGAGTGGATCAGGATAGGTGGCAAGTTCACCATGTCTGACGACAGCCACGGCATCGCGCAGGTAGCGACAAATTACTCCCGCGCGCTCGCGTACCTGAACAGCCTCGACGTCAAGGAGGTCTGGACGCTCCGCCGGGCGCCTCACCCCGGCACCAGCGGCGACGCAAAGAGCAAGTTGGAGGACGTCAGTGTTCCGCTGACTGCGTTCCAGCAAGCTTTCCCGTTCTCATAGAAGAGAGTTAGATGGTATAGAATCGTGAAAATAATAAAATGAAGAAAGGAAAGAAAGGAGAGGAACAAACACGGCGTACTGGCTTAGCTCTACACTGTATACTCTTCGAAACAGGTTGGTATTTCTCTCTCGCTGGCGATACACCCGGGATCGTAGAATGTCGGCCTCTGGTCACCATTTGCCCAACAATTCTCCAGGGCTAGAGGCGCCTCGTCATTGACAATGGGTTTGCTACCGCCAATTTGTAACGGGTCACTATGCTTCTCCTTCCGCGAGCTAATCGTAAATTGTTGAATGATGTAGTATGTGAAGCAGCATCATACAACTATTCTACCTGGTGGGAATGCAAACGACACTCCTTTGTACACGAGTGATTCGAACCCAACATTAAAATCCATCTATTTCATTGAACCACAAACGGAAAACTAATATCTGACACCTGTGCAACATACATTTCAAAGGATTTCAAAGGCAAAACAAGGTTAAGATCGAACCAGAACAATTGCGCGGCTGCCCGACAAAATCAAACACGACAAGCGCCCCAGGTAAAACGGAAAGGGTATCACGCGAGCAGAGCGAGCTTGGCCGCACTCGAAGAACGAATGAGAAACAAACCCATAAACTCCTTCCAACAAACCCTCAGCGCCCAAAATAGAGTGTAAAATAGTCCCAAGCCAGACATGGGGGGAAGAATAATCAGTGACGACAAAAATGGCAAACAAGTAAATAAAGAAACCCCTCGTTTCTCAGCTATCGCTCCATAATCCATCATGGACTGTTAGCAAGAAGCATACCTAGAGAATATCTCTCGCTTGGTCAAGGTCAAGGAGAGCTCCTCAAGAAGCCATCACCCACTTCCATGGTTTCCCTCATTGGCTGGAGGTGCTTCATGTTTAGGTCGAGGAGCGAAAGGAATGCCTCCGGCCTTGTAGGTGAAGAGTTTATTCTGATTCCTTACGGGCATGGGAGTCGCTACTGGTGTATTAGCCGATGACGTTGGTATGTTCGGTGGGAGCCATGTCAGCGGCTCGGATTGGACCGCAGCCTTAGGTGCTGGGCCTTCAGGTTGGTATGCAATGAACACATCGGCCGGGTCACTGCTAGCCTGGATAGCTACCTGGGGCAGATCAGGCGATGGAGTCTTGTGAGGTGGTAAGAAACATGAATCATCTGTTCCGTAGGTGGTTGATTTAGAGTCATGGTCTAGGAGCCCTGGCTCGGAACCAAAATCAGGCTCTTGCTTGATGATGACTGGACCTTGGCGATCCAGCGCCCACTCATTGGTAATGGCGGGTACTGGTGATTCTGCTGGGATAGTTGTAGGTGAGATGGGGGGCGATGAAGGCATATCAATCTCAGTGCTGAGCGCTTCTGCTAATGGGGGTGCAGCTGAAGCTGGCCCAGCAGCATTGGTGTTCGCTTTTCCGAGTCGAGCACGTTCCCGAGCCTCCTTTTGTGACTTTGTGATCAGATTAATCTTGATCTTCTTCATCCCTCGGGTAATATTGTCCAGATCATCTACCGTGGTCGGAGGCTTTCGAGGCTCGGTGGCTGGTACCTGCTTGTCAATAGGTGCAGTCGTCGCCGCCCTGCCTGCACCCCGTGCTGTACGTGGATTGCCAGCTGTCCTCCTAGGTGTAGCTGGTGCTCGTGTCTTCTTGGTGGCCAAATCAGTCGAGCTCTGGGAGCGGCCGGAGGTGGCGAGATCAGGTCTTGTGGTCGTGCTCGACTGAGGCGGTGCCTCATCTGTACCGGTGCCGATCGTAGAGATACCACTAAGTCGTCTGCTGGCTCTTCGGGCCACTGCTGCCTTCGACTCAGTTGTAACAGCGGTGGTTGACTGTTCGTTCTGTTAGTTTGTCTCATGATTGCTAAAGGGATGGGGTTCTTTACGGTTTCAGCCCCCGGGGTAGATGTAGCCAGAGTTTTCCTTCGATCTTTGGCGGATACTGGCTCACTAACTTGGGAGCTTGCCACTCTGGGCTTCCTCCCGCGCAGATTCATTTTTGATCCGGGTCGTTCAGGTGTACCAACCGGAGTGGCCTTGGGCGCGGTGGATTGACGTGCCTGGCGTTGCCTGGTGGCTTCAGCATTGAGGTCTTCAGCCTTGCAACTATCGGTTTGTCGATCAGAGGGGATCAAAAGTTTTGATAGCTCATGGGCAGCAATGTGCCATGGAACCTCCGGTGGCGGCGGCGAGACTGGCCTGGTGTGGCCTTTGCTCGATAGACCCGACAAACTTCGGCGCATGTTGGCAGGATCGACGACCTTGGCCACGGAGGCCTGTGTAGGAGATGAGTAAGTTGAGAGCGAAGGTTGCCTTGGTTTCTTAGGAACCTCGGGCGGTGCTGCTATCAGGCTATCTATAACATCCAACGAGGAACTAGCCCACCAAGTTGAATCATAGGGAGGAGCGGAGGTGGACTCGTGCTCTGTGGCCTCAGTTTCAGTGGATGTCTGGCGAGGAGCAAGTCCTAATTCAGGAGCAGCAATGCCGAGGCCGTCTGAGGCCGTCTGCGGTTTCGCATCACAGCTGGGTGCAAAGCCACACAGGTGACTAAAGACACCCGAAAAGAGTGCTCTATCGCTATACCCTCCCTCTAGCACGCTGATGACACGACCATCGACGCCCAACCCTTCCTCCGAGGCGAGCTTCACGACATCCCGGGACAGTCTAGCATAGAACCCGGTCGGGACGTTCACAGTGTGTCGCTGCATCCCAGCGCTCTCCCATTCGCTGGCATCAAATCCTGCAGAGAAGAAGATGGCTGCCTTGGGGGTTTGCTCCAGTTTGCTCAGTCGCCGAGCTTGGTTCCTGAGGTAGTTGCGCGCCTTGACCAGCAGAACAGAGTACTTGGTCTCATACAGGTCCCAAAATTCCTGCTCGGAATCCCACTGCTCCAGGTGCACGTTCCATATGGATTGGCCATGGGCGTTGTCAATACACAGGCTTGCATTCTTGACTTTCTCTTCGTCGCCACCTTCACAGGGATAAGAGTTGATATCATGAAGGCTAAAATAACCAATCGATGACTTTTTCCAAGCCATGGCGTTCTTTGTAGCCAAGTTGGCACGAGTATTATGCTGCCATGCGATTGACTGCGATCCATCGCCGTGGTGCAAGTCAAAGTCAATAATGGCGGCATGGGTAAGTCCGTGGTTCATGGCAGCATGCATGATACCGACATGTACATTGTTCACCCAACAAAATCCAGATGGGTGCGAAGCAGAGCAGTGGTGCCCGGGCGGTCGCACTCCGACAAAGGCTCTTCGAGGCCCATTCTCGTTGAAGATAGTGTCGATTCCCTCGCACACCGCGCCTAGAGCCCCTTCGAATGCATTTAGAGACTCCGCGCAAAGGTATAGATCGCCCTCGTGTAGCTTTTCGGGGGTTGGATCGTCGGCCGTACGTGTGCTCGTCCTGCTGCGAGGACGACGCTGCAGCTCCTTTCCGCCTGCGGCGAGTCTGCCCTCTGCCATGTCGCACATGCCCTTAAGTTCATCCATCCACTTGGTCCCGTGCACGTTTGTTACGGCTGGCGATAGGATAGATAGCTTTCGATCGGTCTTTTGAATCCGGAAGGGTATGTTTGATACCTCCTGTACCTCCCGTTTGGGGGTCAGGGCTTGGGCTCCGTCGGCATGACGTTCTCCTAGCCGCACATAAGCCAATGAGATGCCCAACATGGCCGCCTTTATGCGTTCTGGCCGTTCGACAATCGTACTGAGGACGCCTTTGGATGTTCGTGGTCGGGAGAATCGATGGCCGTAGACAGCGTCATTGACAATGACTACGGTTTCTGCGGAGAGAGTCGGGGTTGGCCCGTGGATGGTATTTAGCTCGGCCTTCAAACAATCACTTGCAATGCTGGCAGGTGTGAGAGGAGCTTTAGGAGGCAAGGGGGCATCGCCCGTGGGCGACAGTGTTTGGTTGGAACTCGAGCGTCGCAAAGGGGGATATGAAGCCGAAACACCATTCGCCGAATGCAACGAATTCATCGACGCCTTCCGATGCAAGTTTGGCGTTGAAGGGTTCGGCATTCGACTGTTCGGGCCGGCCGAGGGGCTTCGGGAGGGGACTCGACGACGAGGGGCGGGGGATTGGGACGAACGTCGAGAGGAGGGCCCCAGGGGGGTTTTCGGCTGCTCGAGGAGCGGCGACTTTGGAGCGGGTTCATGGGATATAGAAAGCTTTTCGAGGGACCGAGCTAGATCATTATCCTCTGCCGGGGCGGTCGTGGTGTTTATTGTTGTTGTCTCGAGCCGCGAGGGCTGCGGCGCATCGCTTTTCGATGCCATGATGGGGACTTCGCAGCGAAGGTCATGAGAAAGGAGAGAGGTGCTCGGCAAAACGAAAGAGCAGCTAACTCTTCCAAGGCAATGTCGCCTCCTTCAAAATATTTCCTTCTCCAATGTGGACACTTGGAAAATGGCTTGAGAGTAATCGCAGGTTTGTTGTTGTGGTTGAATAAATGGAGAGGCACCACAGATGACGGCGCTATGCACGATGACCGTGTCACTGGGGAGGTTTGTTTGGTTTTGGGCGAAAGAAAACATCCCCCACCATTGCTCTTTTTTTTAGTGGGTTCTGCTGGTAACGGCGCGTCACAGCGGGTGAGATGTGCTGTGGGCGTGACGCGAAACGGCACGTGCCTCCATTCTGCTGCTTCATGCATACACTCCGAACGGGAGTTATTTGTTTCATATACGTATGTACATGTAATGATAATAGTGACTGAAGGTCGGTGTTCCAAAGAAAAATACCGCCAATGACGCAGCATTGCCCATTCAATCCCACGCTGCTTCATCAACAGCAATTAACCTTGTCGCCGTTTTTAGTGGGAGCGTCCCAGACGTCACTGGCCTCGAGTGACCGAAACAGGACGATGCTGTATCGATAGCTGACTCAGCAACCTCACCTATCCCAGTTAGGCTCGTTGTGGGGGTGTTATTTTTCAGACTCTGGAGAGCTTCAACAAACCAGCATCACTACCAACAAC